ACAGTTGGTCCTAAGGTTGTAAATGATACTATCTTCCCCCTCCTTGCCACCCATTCTAGATTCCCCTCATCCTCAACTAGCACTTCTGTTGGTAGGATGACCTAGGCCCTCATCCCTCCAGGGTCTGAGCCCCTGGTTTCCATGGTTTCATCAGGCTACATGTAGGGCAGCGCCACGTGTGTCTTAGTGGGCCCCTCAGTGCCATGCATATTCCTCACGTCCTGACTGTACAGCATCAGCCCTTCCAGTTATGGTCATTTCTTCCCTGGCCTCCTGGTCTACTGGCATGAGGAGCCTGAGTGACCATGCAGCAGCCATAGCTTTAAGTTTAGTGGAGTTCTTTGTTCCTGCCCAAGAATCAAGACATCGAAACCCACAGAGCCTAAAGTTGTAAGCACAAGAAGCCCAAATTCCCATGATCACCGTCAGTGACAGTGAGCTTGGCTACTCCTACTTGATTTCCAAACCCATGTTTTCTCCCTGTTGGGGACACTGCATTACATAAGGCCTTCGCCCTAAGGAGTAAACAACCTCCAGAAGACCACTGTCCCACCTCACAGGGTGTCATTTCCAAGCTAGCTGAAGCTGATGCATCTTTGGGAGACCCCATTCCACCCCCCCATCTGAGGTTAGCGTCTTCTGGACGGTTTGGTTTGTGTAGGAGCAGGGGCTTTCAAAGTCACATGATTGCTGCTATATTTCTTTTGCTGCAAAGTGGGTCCCTTGAGCTGAGGAGGTATTCTGGTTTTCCTCACTGGTGAATCAGACACTCTGTGAGCCCTCAGACAGTGGTGCTGACCAAGGCCACAGAATGTCTGATTCTCTCTATGGGAGACCGCATAACATCGCCTTGGACTAAGGGACCCAACTTCACTATCCTTTAATATAGGAAATCAGTGTGCTATTTTGTGGAATATCTGGATGGTCCAAACCCTTTGGGGCTATACTGTCGTAGAGAGTGGGAGAATGTGAATGGCCTTGGGGCAAGACTGAATACACACTGCCGCTCACCCCAAGTCAATACAAATTGCTCTGTTCCTTCTTCTGTCCGGGGATGGAGAAGAACACATTTTGCGTTTCAGTAGCTGTATATCACATATGAAGGTGGTGTTCATCTGCTCTGGTAAAGATACTCCAGCAAGCACAACCGCTGCAAGTGGGGCTACCAGCTGGTTAGGTTTGTGTTAAGTTTGTGATGAGGATATGATGGGAACCACCACCAAGTCCTGAGAGTGGTACCTTGAGGATACTGCTGATTTGCAATATTGTTTTGTATTTACTGTATTGGCTTGGTGGGGAGAAAGTGGAGGCGGATGGGCATTTCACAAGCTTTTACTTGGCATTCCCTACTATAAGACCTCTCATGTTACCTCACAGGTCAAAGAGTCAATGTCCACTGCTAAGCAGGTCTATGGCAATTACATACTCCGGAATTGGAGGAAGTAATCAATGGGTGGTTCATAAGTGCAGTGAACGCATTGCAAAAAGAACTTAGGCCAGGACTCCATATATTACCTCTCCTTTATATGCCCCTCTTCTAACAAGGGGACCATGATGGCACTTTGGGTACCTGGTTTACACTTGCCAGGGTGTTGAAGAGTCTTTCTTCATTGGGATCTGGCCTCTTTTCAGTCACTGGGTTCTGGATCTGAGAAGTGGCTCAGATCTAGGAACTTGACAAAGCAAAATGTCTTGCCATGGGGGCAGCTGACCTCAGCCTTTTGCTAACTCATACCGGATCACTTTTGATTATATATATGAAGCAATACCTTTGTTGTCTGCTCATCTCTCTTGCTCCGAGGAACACCATGTTCTATTAATCATCTCCATTAAAGATTCCTACGGGTCAGGCCCCCTTGTCTCCTACTCCAACCTTGCTGCCCACTTTAATAATTGTACCCATCTTGCTTTTCAGAGTTAAGTGATACCCAGCCTTTGGTAGTCTGTGATTCTGTCCTCCACAGTGATACTAAGGAGCTCAGTTTTGTAATGATGTATCCTACCAGCCTACAGAGGTTACTCAACACTCAGCTTTTCAGTGATGCTGGTGCCCTTCTCACCAGCTCATTACTTACTGTCTTGATATATAGAGTGTCCTCTAGGCCTTCAAGGAACATAATCAGTTGGTGTGTTTTCTGTTCTTGCATTTTAGATCCATTCTAGCACGCCTACTACTCTGAGCCTTGAATCCCTTCCTCCACAGCCTGATACAGCTGTTCTGGAACCTCTGCTTCCTTTCCTCAGGGCCACAGCTTTTGCCAAGCTTCCAAGAGCTGTTCCAGCAATATATTGGATCCATCTCCCAAGATTCCAGGGCTCTTGCCAGGCTATTAAGTCCTACATTGCTGGTGGCCCCAAATCAACAAACTCTCTTTATCCAGTTTCATATTCTGCCTCGTTGGTCTAGCAACCTCAGGACCCAGAGTCAGCCATTCTTTCCCAGTTGCTACTGGTCTGTGTTAGCCAGGTCCCTCTCAGAGATCCAGCCCTTTCCCAGTCAGATCATGCTGAAACTTGACCCTAATTATCAGGCAAGTGGTCAGGAGGGATAGTATAGGCAGGTCCTGAGGAAGGTACACATTTTCTTCCAAGACACCTGCATCATTTGAGGTTTCTGCATTGTCCTCAAATGTGGCAGGGGTGGAGTGGAGGGGCTCTATTTTCCAGCAAGAGTGAGTGGATTACTTCTGTAGTCCGAGAGCGCTCAGGGGAACCTCAGGGTTCAAGGTTCTCGTGTGCATCACCCATGTCTTAAAAGCCCTCTTCTTCCCTGTGAGGGGCTTGACTTTGTCATAGGTGACTTACCTCGGCTGAGAACTCAGGCTTCTCTGAAGTTCCGCAAGTCTTACAACTAAGTCCTGTGCCTGGACTTCAGCTCTTCCTGCCATCTAGCTAAAGGAGAGGAGTCTGTAAATACCTCCAGGGAGGCCTCGGATTCTCACACTGGGCTTGGAATTCCTGGGTGATCGCCCTGAGCCTGTCATCTCTCATCGAAGCTTCGGTGGCATTCAACAACTACCCCCCATTTCCACAGTCCACAGTCCTTATCATTATGGCTCCCCCACATCTCTTGGTGCCAGAAATATCCAGTGGGCGCCCCCCTCCCCGCTTTATCCTGTCCCAGTTCTCCACAGGTGACAGCTTTAGCAATTGCTCTGCTAACCACGGTCCAGGGATCCTCGATACATGTTACACACGGGGATCCTCATTGCCAGCTGAACCCAAAACGATCCTCCTCCCAATTGCATCTGGGAGTCTGCTTCTGGTCGTGCATTTTAGATCCATTCTAGCACGCCTAGGGAACGTGCTAGCACATTTCTAGGGAAACGGTCTGGCGCCGACTGTCTCAGGTCAAGTGCCCTAGAAACAGAGCCCAAGACTGGATTCAGGTGCATGTGATTTATTAAGGATGTATTATTCGGGAAAATTCCATAAGAGAAAGACAGAAACAAGACAAGGGGAAAGAGTAAGATGTGGTCTCAGGTAAAACAAACTTTGGATTGATCCACGAAGGAGCTCAGAAGCATAAACCGCAGACAAAGTTGTCCTGTCGGCTGAGAAGCCAGGGTCAGCTTTTAATACCCTTGTATTAAGAAGCCATTGGCCGCAGCTACCCCGGGGGCAGGGCTGGAGGTGGGGAGGAGGTATTTAGGAGGGCAATTCTCTGGAGAAGGAGGCAACTGTGAGCCCTTAGAAGCCACACACACAGCAACTCGGGGCTGGGTGCGCCAACCAGGTAAGGGGATCCCCGAGGGGCATCTGCAGTGTCTATGGCAGTTGTGAGGGTATATAGACACGTTTACATAGATCTGTCCGTTGGGACCTAATCTGGTTGATACAGTTTCTTATTTACATTTTGGTTTCCAATGCAAGATTCTAAACTCTTCCGCAGCAAGGACTCTGTGCTATTCATCTTTGCATTCCTAACGCAGGGACTGGCAATGAGTTGTTACTAGTCAAACTCTTACCAGATAAAGAGGAACTTGGGGTCGATCACAGAGCAACTTTAACTCCAGATGAAGTAATTTGGGCGTGATTCTGTTGGCGGTTGGAAAGAGTGTGGAGCACTTACTGGCCGCAGTGGACCCTGCGCATTGGGCTAGGGAAAGGACGGGGAGAGCGGCCGAGGCACTGTTGTAGTGATGCAGGCAAGAAGCCACAAGAGGCAGAGTTCTGGTAGAGGCTGCGAGCCGAGGGAGGCAGATGCAAAAGTCATTCAAGTATTATCTACAGGATCCAGATGGCCCCAGGCTGACAGCCAGTAGAGAGACCATCAGCAAGGCTAATTAATCAAGTGTGTTACAAGTTTTATTCTTCTATGCCTGCACGCAGAAAGAAGAGCATGCCTCATATTTGCATGGAAGAAATAGCCAAAAAAATAAATCCATGTGGGTTTTCTTAGTGTCATGCATAATTAGACAAAGCCCATGAAGTAAGCATGGGAATATTTGCTTTCCCTCCATATTTTGGCCAGAGTTCCACAGTCAGATCTGAGAAAACCCAAGGTCATCAGTGTGGAATTCGTTCAATTCATTAGCACGTGGGGTACTTAAGTTTAAAGTGGTTTCCAGGGGCGCCTGGGTGGCTCAGTCGTTAAGTGTCTGCCTCCGGCGCAGGTCATGATCCCAGGGTCCTGGGATTGAGCCCCGCATTGGGCTCCCTGCTCGGCGGGTAGCCTGCTTCTCCCTCTCCCACTCCCCCTGCTTTATTCCCTCTCTCACTGTGTCTCTCTGTCAAATAAAAAAAAAAAAATCTTAAAGTGGTTTCCAGTGACATTGCTTTCAAATCAATCATTCTATACCGTAACATATGTTCTGAAAGCTGCTGATTCAGCACATTATCCTCAGCTGCATTCTGGACCGGATCCTGGCTGGGATAATTTATCTGTGACTCAGATGGATCATATACACATCAAGAAATACATACTTTTTTTTTTTTTTTCTGAGTTCTTCCAGGACTGGACTCTAGGCAAAGCTGTGTGCATTCCTCTCCAATTTTAGGGCTCAGTGACTTTTGGCCAGGTGCCTGCCCTTCACGTTGTTTTCCGAGAACCGGTTCCTGGGACCCTTGTTGCGTGGACTGGACCTGGATTTGCCAGGGTTCTCCCTGGGGCTGGCTTGAGATTTGCCGTCAACAACATTTCCTTTCCCATGAACTTCACCATTGCCCTTCGCTACGAAATTCAGGTACCCAACTTCTTTTTCAGGGGTAAAGGGCTGACTGAAGTGCATTCTCAAACTACGAGTTTCCATTCCAGTCTTGCTAGATTAGGGTCATCAGAAAATGATTTGCAAAAAGTAGAACATCTGGAGAGCATTAGAAATCAAAGAATTTCCTAGCAATATTAAAATAACACAGTGAGCCAGAGAGATACATGCTTTATTCCGTGGAGAGAAGCTGAATTTGAAGTTATATATCTAAGGTACAGGGTCTAAGGAAGTGGTGATGGAATGTTTGTATAAGAACAATGAAAAACTAAACTAACACAAATTCTGCCCTTCTGGGACTTTTTTCTAAAAATCTTCTAAAAATTTAATAAGCTAACCTATGTGCAGAGATTCAGATTCACGCAGAAGAGGCATTTATTTTGCACTTGGAATTTACCCTGAAACAAGAAAAAAACTAAAGGCAGACAGCTCCTCTTGCATCCTCCCCCTGCCTTTTGAGAAATATCTAAGGCAGAATAGAAACCAAATCAGAAAAACACTCCATCTAGAGTGATAGCCCCTAACCTTTTCTCTGCATAATCTTTTCTTTGATAATCTGAAACCCCACAGACCATTTCACCTGAAAAATACTTTATAAGGCTAAGGATGGTCTCAGAGCCCCCAGGGTTCCTCTGGGGACCACATTCTGGAAATGTTCATGTTATGTTGTATGAGCAGAACTGCTGATCCACTTTGAAACTCTTGATACGACATAATTCTCTATTGCTCACTTATAAATGAAAGCCAAGGGACTTCAGTGAACTTGGACCTGGGGAGTATGATGAATCATTAAAAATAGGATATATATTTTAATTTTTCCATAGAGAGGACACATCTGTGGCATCTTTAAAAAGCATTTCCAAATTGCATGGCTTTCAGAGTACAGCTGATTAGCATGTACTATAAATATATATGCATATTTAGACACATATAAATAGATTTAGCAATATAATCATCAAATATCACATAACAAAATCTATGTAATGATACATTTATATAATAATATTTATGCAATAGCATGAAAAAAAGGATATAAGCTTTTGTGAAGGATTCCAAATTTCCATTTTTGTTCTGTAATACAGGGACAGGTACATTAATTGACTCTCTGGGAGACAGAGGTTAAAGACGAGGCCTGTCAGGAGCGCCAGGGCTTTTCCAGCCCATGAACTAGAGCCACGGCCAGAAACAATATTCTTGGGTCTACCTGGCTCACCATTAAGACCCCAGCGAGTTAGAGCTGAGAGTGAGCCTCTCAGACTTTGCTCGTAAATTCCATTTTCCGAGAGGGCTGGGGGCTGTGGATTCGAGTCCAAGTGCTGTCCTTGAGGTGTGTGTTGTACCTGCATCCTCACAAGGACGTGCTTTTTATGTCCTGTCCATCTAGCCCGCAGCCGATTGGACTGTCCAGGTCCTGGCTAACCCCCGTGGAGGGAGTGAGCACTGTCCGCGCGAGAGTCCATGGCCACGGCCTCCGTCTTTCCCTTTACCAGCGGCTTCCAGGTATGCTTGGGACCTGTCCTCAAACATGGAAGGCTTCTTAGAATTTTGTTCATCTATCAGTAATTTGTATCAAAGAACTAAGCAGGAGAAGAGGTGACATTTATTAAGTGCTTGCTGTGGGCTACACTAAACTTCACATTTAAGATCGTATTTTATCTTGCTAACAACTCACTGAGGTAGACTTTCTCTTCATCAGGCGAGGAGGGAATTGAGAATGAGAATACTTGGAGACCTGCCCAGTCTCATAGCTAACATATTGCAGAACCAGGATTCTAGCCCGGATCTCCTGATTCTCAGTCTGGAAATTTCCTTTCCCTTTCCCCACATGGCCTGGAGAGGTGAGAAAGTGAAATGATACAAGAGTAAGAGTCAAATATTTAGCTGGCATTATCTCAACAGCTGAGAGTCTATCAGGTAAAAAAAAGCTACTAACTCTGAGGCCACTAATTTTGCATCAGAGATTTGTGGCAAAATAAAACAAAAGACCCTGTTGAGATTAACATGGTAGAAAGGACGAAGGACATTTGTTCTATCCTTTTCCCAGAGCAGTCATGACAACCCATGGCTAATAGTTCCTAAGCTTTGCTATTTGGCACAATCCTATGCAAGAGCCACAGAGAGAATCTGAGAGTGAATTTGCTGTCCACCCAACACGCCTGAACTGGTCTAGACCTGGCCTCTACCCCACGGTCAAACCCACGTCCGCGCAGGTGGGATACCACCAAATACCCTGGCCGCTTAGGTTATTTGACTGTACTTTGTCACTGAATTGTTGCTTTATTTCTCTTCATACAGAATCGTGCTGCTTCCCACACCCATCTGTTTAGAACCAGATGTACAATATTTCATAGATGTCTATTTTTCCCAGCCTTTGGAAGGAGGGTCCCACGCTTATTCGCACATCCTGGTTGATTCGGTAAGTATCCCAGAGCGACGGCATGCTGCCTTCCAAACTGAGCCCCGTTATCATTCTGCTTTTAGACTGCATGGTGCAATGTTTCTTTAGAAGTATAAATGAGTTTGTTCCTTTGGAAAAATCACTGATTCTCTATAAATGTCACCTAAGACCAATTGCAAACCTTACAGAACAGCACGCACCAGCAACAGGTTGAAGTGTTTTACCTATTCTATTGTTTAGTCTTCACGACAACTCTGAGGGAGGCACTGTTGTTGTCCCCATTTTATAGACGACAGAACTGAGGCACAGGGTCACAGAGCCAGTGAGAGAGGAGTCTGCCATCAGAGCCAGACTCCCTGATGCCAGAGCCCCCACTCTGAGCCACCACGGTGTCCTGGCATTGCAGAAAGTTGGGGGAGAAATTCTACCACTTTAATTGTCAGTGTCTTGTAAGTTCCGCTCTATACATATTGTGTTTTTATATTGCTGTGATCAGAGCACTCATACATAGACAGATATTTTTTAGTTCCCGTTATATCATAAGCATTTTCTTATGGTGCTTATGTAGTCTTCTTATCATTTTTAGGAACGATGCATAATATTTCCTCAAATGACTTCTTTCAACGCCTTTCCCCCACAAAGCTGGGCCACAGATATTCCTTCCAAACCTCTCACTCTGTACAGAACTTCAGGCCCAGGCTAGTCCCTGGGCAGAGTTTGGGCACTGAGGAAATTTAAGCCTTCACTTACCAGTATCTATTCCCTACTCGTCAAGGTTTATGGCTCTTGAAATAGCCTGTCAAATTAATTTCTGGGAAGTATCCTCCAATTAACTCTCACGATCATCAGAAATATGTGAAAGTATCGGGTTCATTCCACCTTCAGCAGAATTGTATAGAATTGTGTGGAATTTTTTTAAAGTAATTTTGTGGATAAAAATCAAATTCATTTGTTACAGCTGCATTTTTAAAATATTCATGAGAGGGGTGCCTGAGAGGCTCAGTTGGTTAAGCGTCTGCCTTCGGCCTTTGGCTCAGGTCATAATCCCGGGATCCTGGGGTCCAGCCAGCGTTGGGCTCCCTGCTTGGTGGCGAGTCTGCTTCTTCCTCTCCCTCTGCCCCTCCCCTTTGCTTATGCTCTCTCTCTCTCTCACTCACTCTCTCTTTCTCAAAATAAATAAATAAAATCTTAAAAAAAAAACAAAATAAAGTATTTGTGAGAATCTTCTAATATCATGATTTAATTGGCAAACTACTGTCCTACAAGGTTTTATTTGAACACAGCTATGGCCAGTTGTTTAAAGATTTATTTATTTTTGTGGGAGGAGGGGCAGACAGAGAGGAAGAGAGAATCCAAGAAGACTCTGCACTCAGCACAGAGCCTGACACGGGGCTCCATCTCACGACCCTGAGACCATGACCTGAGCCGGAACCAAGAGTCAGACACTTAACTGACTGAACCCCCCAGGCGCCCCTGGCCAGTTGTTTATATATTATCTACCACTGTTTTCAAGCTACAAAGGCAGAGCTGAGTACTTGCCACAGAGGCCTTATGACCCACAAAGCCAAAAATATTTACTGTCTAGCATTTTATAGGAAGCTTGACAATCCCTGCTTTAATTAGTTGTATGTCCATATTTCATGAATTGTGTCTTTTAAGGTTTAATTTTGAAGCATCGAACATTTTAAATTTATAACCTGGAACTTTGCTGTTTCATCATTTACTATAGAACTCAGTATGAGGCAGGTGTATCTTGGAATTTATTCAACAAGTTCAGGTATTGTAACATCTAGAAAAAGCCATTATATAAGATTATTTTACCAGAGATAGGATTGCGAAATTTAGAAAACAGGGAGGGAGGGAGGGAGGGAGGGAGGGAGGGAGGGAGGGAGGGAAGGAAGGAAAGAAGGAAGCAGGGAGGGAGGGGAAGAGCAAGGGAAGGAGGGAGGAAGGAAGGAAGGAAAGAAGGAGAGAAGAAACGGGACACTCAGATTTGAATATTGTATAAATATGTCCAAAATATTGCCCTCGAATGCTGCATGAGACATACTAAAAAATTATTCATTGCTTTTCCGAAATTCAGTTTCAACTGGGTGATTTGTATTTTATCTGGCAACCTTACCCAAAGGTGGTCTAAATCTTGCACCTGGAGGGCCGTCTGATATTGTGGTGAGATTCTACCATGTTACAGTAGAAATGAGGTGGAAAGTGGAAATAAACTCTTGAATGAGAGTTTAAACTATCGTGATTTCCCTACCCATGTTAAGTCCTATTCTCTGCCCAGGAACTTCAAATAGAACTGCACTCACAGACCAACACATGAGTTACAAAGAAAGAAAATCAAATCCAACAGATTTAATTTAGGGGGAAAAAGCTAAAAGTTGGAAACCCACGCAGAGTAGAGAAAGGAAAAGGAAGAAATTAAGGAATTGATACATCATGGAGAGATTTTATTATTATAATGATAGTCATGAAACTCAAATTTATAAGAGCCAAGATACTCCTCATCTTAAATCCATATCCTGAATATTTTATATTCACTATTTATAATTTTATTTATAATAGTTTATGACTTGATGCTGTATTTCATGCATCCATGCAAATTATCCATTCATCACCCATTCGCTGAGCATACATGGGCTGATATTGTGGTCCCTTCCCTCAAATAATTCTCAGTCTGATACAGAAGACGGACGTGTAAATAAAATCATTGCAGTGATATTTGGTAGATACATAATACAAATGGGTAATTTGAAATTAACTGAAAAATATTTCCATTTGATCAGTTTTCAAGCAATCATCCCTTACATATAGCTACAAAAACCATGAAACCTGAGTGAAAATTAGGACAGGAGCCTGATCTTCACGAAGTGTCAGAACCTCAGAGGAGAGGCTAGATCCCTCTTTCGGGTCAGATTCCCCAGAAGCCGGAGCAGAGACAGGGACTTAGGTCCCCCTGATTTATTGAGGGTGTGCTTGTGGGAGAAGAGGCGTGGGGGACAGGGGAAGGAACAGAGCAAGGATGTGATCTGCGCTGAAGTGTAGCTGATCCCACAGGGGGCTTGGGAACCTCCTTGTACCACCGAGCTGGCTGCACCTCGAGGCCAAGTGGTGGAGCCTGTGTGCACCCAAGTCATCCACCCCACCCGGCCCCCAGGGAGTATGTTCACTTCCGGGCAAGTTGGCTGAGTCCAAGTTTTCTGGAGAAGGGGACAGCTGTGAGACTTTAGCGCCAATACCACAGCAGCTGGTGAACGGGGCGATCCGGGCAGGGCACCTACAGTGTCCCTTTGAGTCCCTGACCCCGGATGTCCATAGGAGAAAGCCAATGCACATTTTCTGATTACAGACTAATGCAGTTATTTCCACACCACCAATATTGTGGCTCTGGGAAGATGCTTGACTGCTTGAGCCCTGGCCCTTTCAAAGTTCATTTTTCTCCTACAGCCAGATTAACATTTATATCTAAGACCAGGATGCACTACCAAGAAGCCCGGATGAAAGCTTTGGTCAACCCTGGATGCTCCGTCTGCAGAAATAGCTTTTGTTTGGCAAGCCTAGTGAGACAGTCACAAATTTCCTTCAGTCACCCTATTTCATGATATATGCTTCCATGAAAATGTGTTTAGAGTCAAAAGTATATTAGCCATTCTAGAATATAAAACTGCCATTCTTTTAAACCATGGGATGGACTACACTTGGTAAACAAAGTCTTTAGAAGTTTCTAGAAGAAGTGAGTTACAAAATCCTATAGCTTGACAGGGACTCTTACCATCTGGCCCATCAGTTTGGTGCCAGGACTGGCCTCCTTGAAACTGCCTCAGACCAGTAACTGTAGATAACGAACCCCTGGTTGGCTGCCTTCATCCCCAACCCTAGCCTGTCCGGCTTCCTTCTGCATCTCTCTTCACTTGGTATGTGTTTGGAGAACGCAGTCATTTTGGTATCAACTTGAAGAGACCACACTAGACAGGTGTGTATACGTCTTCATTGAGCAAATATTTATGAAGCAGCTACTGTGAATTAGACACTGTGGTAGGCACAGGTGTGAACGAGACAAGCACCGACATGCCGGGGCTTCCTCTCTAAAGGGGGGATAAAGACAGTTACACGGGAAATGGCAGCGTGGTCTGAGAGCTACCGGAAGCCGTGGCAGGTCACCGAACAGAAAAGCTCGGGGTGCCTGGAGCAGTGATCCTCAGCATCACCTGACCCAACCTCCTCTTTTTATTGCAAATGTTTTGTAACACTCTTTACTGATTTGAAACGCAATTCATGGGCATCATAGCCTACCTTCATACATACCTTCCAAAGAATGTTGATGTAATGTGCGAATACAAAGATACATAAAAGGAAAGTAATTTATGGAGGAACATTATGTACTTCAATATGTTTGCGCACTGGCATGAATACGCCGCAGACACAGGAGGCAGGGACATGCTCAAAGGTGTAGAATCCCTCAGTGTGAGACAGCCATGAAAGGAGGAGTGTTGCAAACATGTTGCAGTCATGTTTTTAAAACAGAGAATAAGGCTTTCTCACCTTCTAATCATAAACAAAGATTTCTCCTGCATGGGTGTTCGGTGAAACATGGGCTGATTTTCCTTTGTGTCAAAACATCAGGGATTTCTGATCCGCACCTGCTAAAAGCCAGTAACACACCTCATCTGATGGCCATGACAACCAAAACTACCCCTTGGAATTCCAAAATGCCCCTTAGGGGATGGCACCTCCCATATTGAGAACCACTGAGCCAGGAGGTTGGGGGGGAGGGGAACACGGGGGTAAGAGAAAGAAGCCACTGAAGGTTTGAAGGAGGGGTTATCTGAACAAACTGCCTTTTAAGGAATCACTGTGACTACAGGGTAGAAAACTGACGGGGGAAGGAGAAAAAGGGTGGAAGATGGGACATCTGTTGGGCTGCCACCGTGGTGATCTGGATGGCCTCCATTAGAGCAGTGACAGGGGGGTGAAGAGACATAAATGCATCCTAGACACATTTGAGAGCTTAGATGGACCAGGCTTGTGACTGACTTGATGTGTGGGGCAGTGGGCAGTGTTGATGGCGAAGAGGCAAGTATCAAAGATGACCTTCTTCAGTCTTCTACACTGAGTAGCTTGGCAGATGCTGACACTCTCCTGCCAACAGGCTCAGGGAGGAAAGCGGGTCTCAGGTGTGTTGGTTTGCAGTGCCTGTGGGATGACCAGTAAGCTTGTCTGTGCAGATCTGGAGCCCGTAACTGAGACGTGGGCAGGAGGCCTGGGTCGAGATGTCGGCAATCTATACTGACGGTAACTGAAGGCACAAGGTCGCCTAGAAGGGGGGTGTGGAGTAAGGGAGGGGCTGATGAGAGAACCCCGAGGAACCCAACACTGAGGGATGGGTGGAAGGAGAGGCGCAGCATTGGCGTGAAGAGTAAATGCAGGAGGAGGCAGTGAAGGTAGCAAGGAAACAGCGTTTCAAGAAACGTGGCTATCGAGGAGTCAAAGGGCACAGACGGGGGCAGTGGCAGGAGGAATATATGAGATCAAGGAGGTGATTTTACGGACGGGAGAGATTTCAGCACATTTAAATGCCATTTGAAAGGAAGAGATTAAAGAAAGAAAGTATAATCCACAGAGAAGTTTCCTGAGGGCAGAGGGCACGGTGGCAGACATCCCTTCCCCTGGGACACTTCTTCGTAAGCGCCGAGCCAGGGACAGGGGTGGTACCTGTGCGCCCGGAGTTTGGGAGGCAGGAAGCGGGAGGCTCCATTTCCTCTGGGAAGCCAGAGGAGGAAGGGGCAGTGAGTGAGTGGTCCATCCGGGAGGGCAGGGAGAATGAGGATAGTGGTTTGAGGCATGGAGACACTGTGAAATGGGCATCTGGGGCTGAGATTCCACCCCTGGCGTGTCAGAGGGCAAAGAGAGAAGGACCAGGGGTGTGGATGGGCGTGGGGGGAGGGGATGGTTGAAAGGGTCCTTGAAGCAAAGGACCATGGGAACAAGGTTCAGTATGGACAAAACAAGAAGGCCAGGGGAGATTTATCTGGGCCCCCTGGTTCTCTCTTTTAACTTGACCTGCTGAATTAAATCTTAATTTCAGTGCTGACCAACTTGGTGTGACCGATTCTCTTATACCAACATGTTCTCCACTGCATCAGCCATGCCACTGAAAAACATTTAAAATGGTAATAGGTTATAACATAGGTAAAATCTTCTCAAGAAATATAACTGCATGGCTTTTCTTCACATAGGTTATCAAACTGTAGATGATCCCTCTTTGAGAATAAGCTTAGAACAATGCATTTGCCCCTCTAATAGCTGTATGCTCTAAGCCAGCAATTCACAGAATACATCTGTGAGATATTGAGTTTGTGGGATGTTAGTGTTACTTGAATATAGGACCAAGTAGTTAAATAAGCATGAAAGCACTGAGTTTAAAAATATCTTTCTTGCAGGACTTCTCAGAGCTTTATATGGTAATCTACACTGTGACTCCCCAAGAGGCAGATAGTTTGATGTAGGACACTACTGTTCATATGGAATTGAAAAGGACAAAACATTTAAAAGGAGAGTTTTGTGGATTTAGAGTTCCACAATAATACTATGGAATGTGCTAAGCCATAATTCCTGAATTTATCACAAGTAGCCTAGTTAAAAGTCTTTGAAATCTAAGACAAATTTATGAGCAAGCTAAAAATATAATAAGGATGGTAAAAAAAAAAAAAAAGTCTTATTTTCTTTGTCCCAAGTCAATAAATGTAAATATTTAAAGATTTCTTAAATACGATGAAAATCCTAAAGTCTTCAGTTGTAAGCATTTTCTCATAGATCTAATTGTTTATACAACTAGAATCTTGAACAGGAGACGGTTATGAATCTGAGTCTTCTTTTTGCATTATTTCAAAAGCTTGGTCTGATTCCCCAAATCAATTCATTGGAGAACTTCTGCAGCAAGCAGGATTTAGATGAGTATCAGCTGCACAACTGTGTTGAAATTGCCTCGAAGGCAGGACCTCAGGTGCTCCCCGGGGTGTGTGAGAGGCTGATAGTCAGCATGTCCGCCAGGCTACACGATGGGGCAGTAGGTGAGTATTGGCCCAGTGGGCTCTACCAACGCACAGCTTTTTAGAATGTGAATGAATCGTTTTAATTTATTTGAGCATCTACTCCAAACAATCAATGTCAATGACAATTTCCCAGTGTTTAGATATACAACAGTGTGTTGATGTGTTGGAATCCCAATGCACAGTACGGTAAGTGTATAAAAAAGGAGCCTTGTGGTAGCATTTGGCTGCTAGGATACCGGAACTATGGTCCTAAAATACTTACTTGGAATCCTGGAATTTTAGGGCTGGAATGAACTCTAAACAACTTCTTTCATCCTCAGACTTCCATTCAGTGAACGAGACTCTTGGGGTCCAAACCCATTAGGTAACTTGTCCATTTCACTAAGCCTTAGGGCTGTGTTTCTCATCCTGCAATTTGGGGCTGAATAATGCTTTGTTGTGGGGGGCCGTCATGGGGGGCTATTCTGTGCATTATAGGAAGTTTAGCAGCATCTCTATCCTCTGCCCACCCGATGCCGTAGCACCTTCCCTCCAGCTATGACATTCAAAAATGTCTTCAAACTTTGTCATATGTTCCGGGAGGCGGGGGTTTACAAAGTCTCCCCCCAGCTGAGAACCGCTGCTATAGAGTGACAACTCCAGTGAGACCTCGGGGTTCCTGAGTTCTGGGCACAGGCTTCTCCCATTACACTGCAGGACTCCGGCTTCAGGGTGCCCACAACCCCATGAAGGAGACGGAAGAAGGGAAATCAAACGGATGGTCCAGCACCAACATAGATCATCAGGATCTGAAGGAATAATATCAGTAATACTACATGTACTAATGTATCAATTAGTACAATACTAATGTATCAGAAATACAATTTCTTTTAAGCCTTTCATTAACTTGTTAAGTAACATTTATTGCTAAGCTATGTGTATTAAGTCATGTTTATTGAGCACTTACTACCTGCCACACAGTTCTAAGTACTTCATGGGCGTTCTTGTCTTTAATCCTTATAATCCCCTGGGGTAGATCCTATATTTTTCCCATTTCACAGATGAAGGAGTCGAGGATGAGAGAAGTACCAAGCAAAAGAGAAGTGAACTAAAGCTCCCAACAGGACCGGGTGCTTCTCTGTCGCTTCCTTCACCTCTAACTGCCCTCTCTGGCTCCCCACAGCCTGCAAGTGTCACCCTCAGGGCTCGGGGGGGCCCAGCTGTAGCCGACTTGGGGGCCAGTGCCAGTGCAAGCCTCACGTGGCCGGGCGCTGCTGTGACAGGTGCTCACCAGGAAGCTACGGTTTGGGACATCATGGCTGTCACCGTACGTAGCAACAAACAGATGGGGGAAGACCGGCATGGTCACAACCTTGGCGTCTCAAAGGCAGGAAAATCAGTGTGGGTCTTTCAAAGAGGAGGGGACTGGGAATTTGACGACATGACTCAGGCTGTCTGTCTATGTAGATAAAATGTATGGGAAAATTTTTCCATCGTATTTCATTCATCCGCTCAGAGGGCGCCAAATGGATACAGAGCTCCATTAGTAATCATGAGGGATGGTGCTCGCTTCAACGGCACATATCCTAACATTGGAATGATACAGAGATTAGCGTGGCCCAGGTGCAAGGAGGGCACACAAATTTGACTTTGAGAAGTCAAAGAAGGGGACAGCTCTGCCACCCGGATATCAGCCTCTCTGATGCTGGGGCCGCAAACAGCCATGGAACTGATTTTGTAAGTGGCACATTAATATGGGCTTAGATGGGTCTTTGTCCGTACGTGGTGGCAATCCAGTCCATGACTCCCATGTTCAGGGGATATAGTTCTCTGTTCACGCTGTAAGCCATTAGTGAAAATACTGTTGCCCACAGAAACCTGTCTTTGGTGGTTATCTCCAGATAGGTTAATTCTTTCAGGTAAAGGAACAACATATCTTTTTAGTCATGATTCAGAGAGATGGCATACCTTCCTGGTTATTGTCAACCCAGCACACAGTGCTTAGGTCCATGATCATTTTTGTGTCCCTTTCTTAAAAAAAGAAAAAAGAATGAAGTGCTTGAGATTCACAAAGGGGTATACACAAAGGAGCAAGCCTATCTTCCGCCTCCCACCTTTGTGTAGGGCAGATTGCCTCCAAGGATTCAACAATTTTCTAGAGAAGGATTGAGCCTCTATGATCTCACTGAGGAAAAAGAAAAATCCAACCACCCTGAGAGGGGTTTTTATATTTTTTTAGAATCTTGAAGTTTGACTTGATAATTAGAAGTTCGAGTCACTAAGAACACGCTACTTGTTCAGGTCCTGTGTATAAACAACGCTTATAAGCCCCGATGGCTCACAGCGTATTGTTTATTGGGTGAATGAGGGAATTGTGTGACAAACGTTGACCCAGTACTCAGTGCATGCCAGCTTCTCAGACTCACTTTATGTACCTGATCGGGATGCAACAGTAAGTTCAGCTGCTACAAAATCAGGACCGTCACTCATTCCCCCAGCACACCACTTGCCCCCCACTCAGCATGTCCTCTTTCTTTGTCTAGAATGTCACTGTCACCCTCAAGGCTCAAAGAGCCCCATATGTGACCAAATAACGGGACAGTGCTCCTGCCAGGGGGAGGTGGCCGGCCGCCGTTGTGATCGGTGCCTGCAAGGCTACTTTGGATTCCCCAGCTGCCGCCCTTGCCTTTGTAATGGGTTCACCGAACTTTGTGATCCAGAGACAGGCTTGTGTTTCAATTGCGGGGGTTTTACAACTGGAAGACACTGTGAAAGGTACAGAATCCACACGTAGTTTAATTTTGTTTCTTTTGTTCCGATGTCACAACACTCTCTGAAGGACCACTGAGTAGAAACTCAATGGTATTTCAGTGTAAAATGATTGCTATGTCCTTCAAGATCTTGTGATGAGCCAGACCATGTCTGATTAATTGGCCTGGCACCTTGCTTTTTATGTCCCTGAAATATGACATGTAAATTCACTGCTACTATATTGAGTGTAATGACTATACACCTTGGGACTTTCAATGTAAAGCAAAAAATTACTTCACAGAGTAAGCGAGCATCTTCTAAAATACGGAGTTTTGAGAGTTGCACTGTCCTCAAGCATAGCAAATCCACATTGGCTAATGTGAGCTTTTCCTGGGAACGTTTGGTAAAAAGAAATTGTCTTGCCAGATGCATCGACGGTTACTATGGGAATCCTCCTTCAGGACGGTCCTGCCGCCCTTGCCGATGTCCAGACGTTCCCTCAAGTAGCCAATATTTTGCCCATGCCTGTTATCAGCATCCTTGGAGCTCAGATGTGATCTGCAATTGTCTTCAAGGTTATGCAGGTACGCCGTCTAGTTCATGATGCCTTTTTGCTCCTATCCCATAGTGCTATCTAAAAAATGATCCCATGTTCATAATTTATCTGCTCTGAACAATTGAGTGGTCCTGAATAGAAGTTAATGGTAAGAAGACACAATCTGGTACCTTGCTGCTTTACTGAACAAAGGATTTGAATGATTGAGAAACCAATGACAATGAAGAGCTCATTCCTCAGAGCTATTACTGTTTTTAAATAGTTCTGGAAAACTAACGGACCAAATGAGTTCAAATCAAAATAATTTATTTAAAATAAAACCATCACATGTTAAGTAAGATACATAGGTGATTAAGTAATATGTATGTCTTATGTAACATATAACATAAGCAATTTAAAGTAAAAAATTTTAATCAAATGCTTTCTTCATATAATCCCAACCAGTCAATTTGACTGATATTTAATAAATACAACTTATTTTTTCAGATGTCTTGAAGCACTGATTTGGGCCTCATACAGACACCATAGAAGTCAATTCAATATTTGTGTCTGTCGCTCTACCAAAAATGTTATTTTGAAGAGTTTAAGCATGAGTGTAAACATATAAGGCAAACAGGAAACAACATGAATTCACCTTGATTTAATCATATTTTGAAAATATGGTGCTGCTGTTTTCTTCAATGATAGTTACCATCATGATAATAAATGACATGGCTAATTTTTTCTTTTTTGCTACCTATGTCTCTACTTCATTCTGATGTCTTCCCATGTCCACTCTGGCTTGGTTGGTCAGTGTTTAATAACTGAGACCATGATTGGCTGACGAGAGCATTCCTAAATGGGATGAACCAAAATGTGGGGGGTAGACCCACAGTTTGAGCACCTAGCTGACCACCGTTCCCCGGTGGTTGGAAGGATAGCAGGTGGAGGCGTGAAGGGATGGTTTCTCCACACCGTGCTTGATAAAAACACTCTCCAGGCTGCGCACATCAAGAAAACCACTATCACCATCTTCACTGCTAGACCCCCATCTCAGGGTGCTGCTGGTTCGCCTCCAGAACCAGGTGAGGGTGGGGGTACCCCAGAGAGAACTGGGGCTGAGATCGGCTTTGGGTCCTGAGGCACACTTGGGTGACCCCAGTTATAGAAAGTTCCAGAATCCTGTGCCTACCACTCTGTAGTTTTTTTTAAGGACTAGAATGCATTCCTCACCAAGGGCTTTTTAGTTCTGAATAATCGTTGTATTCTCTGACTGGATAATAAATTAAAATGAATGTTTTAATTCAGAACATTTTTTCCTTCTTCATCCCCAGTATGTGACATCTCATTATCTCTTGAAGATCCTAATTATTCTCTGTATCCGTCTCCATTCCCTGCTCCCCCAACACCCATCCCCCCACCACACACAGACACAGAGACAGACAGACACACACACACATACTTCTCATCTCTTTCCCATGTCCTCTCCCCTCCATTCAGGTAAGCAGTGTGGAGAATGCTCCGCGGGTTTCTACGGAAATCCCAGAATTTTGGGAGCGTCTTGCCAGCCATGTGCCTGCAACAAGAACACGGATGTGACGGACCCCGAGTCCTGCAGCCGGCTGACAGGGGAGTGCCTGAAGTGTTTGCACAACACACAGGGGCCCCACTGCCAGTTCTGCAAACCGGGTTACTTTGGATCGGCCGTCAATCAGACCTGCAGGAGTAAGTCTGCCTGGCCCCCGGCGGGGAAAGTGGCGGCAGAGCGAGGCCCTGTGTGCATGTGCCCGGATTGCCTGCGGATAGGGCTGGGATATTAACAGGCCGATTCCTAGACTATACCTCCGACCCACTGAGTGCAATCTCCAGGAATTTGGGACCAGTTCATCCAGTGTCTTTAATGTATCAGTTGGGGAACCACTGATGCAGGAGAGGGCAAGGGGTTGAGTCTATGATCTTAAAAAAAAAAAAGGAGGAGGAGTAAACTGCTCATTTTTAGGAGATATTTAACTATTTCAGTTGACTCAAGTCAACGTAGTAAACTGTTTTCAGACTGTGAGTGGCAGGGGGAAAACGTGAGGCTTTCAGTCACCCTCATTGTGAGCTCTCGGAACATAGTCGGCAGAACCACATGAAATCGCTATGTGAGGCGATCAGAAAGAGTTGAATGTGTTCAACCTACTTAGATTCTTTGATGAGTCTGAAATATCGTAAGGTGTCTCTTCCTTGAGCCCTTTGGAGAAGCGATTCATACAATGTTTGTGTGGTTTGTGGAATGCCAGGGTCGTCCCTGAATTTACCTGCAGCAATGGCTCTGTTATCCCAGGGTGCTCCTGCCATCCTTCCGGGGTGAATCCTGCTGAGTGTCCCCCTGGACGGGGAGCTTGCCTCTGTGACCCTGACACTGGAACATGCCCTTGTCTGCCCAATGTCACGGGCCAGGCCTGTGACCGTTGTGCAGACGGATACTGGAACCTGGTCCCCGGCAGAGGATGCCAGCCATGTGACTGTGAGCCCCGGACCTCTCACGGCAGCCACTGTGACCAGGCAAGATGCTCTGAGCTTACCTAGGGCGCTAGAGTGGGAAGGGAGGGGGAGACGTGGTTTCCAAATTTGTAAATAATGTCTTCTTTATGTACTGTTGTTAATTAGTGTTTTTGGACAGGATTGGCCTCATACAGGGATGGAGTCTGCATTTATAAGGAATGAAAAGCACTAAAAAAGAAAACGAGGGTCTCAAGGTCAAGTTTGTCCTCCTTCGGCTTTCTCCAAGCTTCTCTGTGACTGGGGAAGTCAGAATTCATGCATAGCGAAACAGAGACAACTTCTCTTTCCCTACCCTGTATGTATGATCACAGGCAAGCTCCAAGAAATTGATCATTAATCAGAATTGATGATTAACCAAAACGAAAATCAATGGGTGCATGCAGAACCCACAGTTCCATTTTTTTTAAAAGATTTTATTTATTTATTTGAGACAGAGAGAATGAGAGAAAGAGAGCATGAGAGGGAGGAGGGTCGGAGGGAGAAGCAGACTCCCCGCCGAGCAGGGAGCCCGATGCGGGACTTGATCCCGGGACTCTAGGATCACGACCTGAGCCGAAGGCAGTCGCTTAACCAACTGAGCCACCCAGGCACCCCCACAGTTCCATTTTCAGAAATTGAGCTGTCATTCCCTACAGCTCACCAATCGCTTTACGTATGGGCAAAATAAGATGTCCCTTTACTTGCCAGACCAGCATCAGTGGTTTCTAAAGGATGCAGTGTAGTGTACCAGGAGCAAATCTGCATTGTGTAATATACAGTTAATGCTACCTCACTGCACATGCGATTTTTAGTCAATAAAATAACGAGCATGGAATTTTTGAAACGAATATAATAACATCTATATGAAAAAAATCTATTCATGTCATGATCAGGGTATTTGGCTTAATAAATATATTCTTTGAAACACTTTCCACGTTAATAGAGATTGGAGGGAAGGGTAAAACAATGACAAGAAATTTTAGAGTCAGTCCATACTACAGGGACCAGGGTTTAATTGGAATCAAAATGCTAATTTAAGAAGCTGGGCTTTTCCCAACTACTACTAATAATAAGCATGGCTCACCTCCAATTTCAGCTCCACTATTCAACTGATTCAAAGGTCAAATCTTATGCAAGTCAACTTTTGAAGGTAGTTCTCATATACTGAATGTGTTTTCCTTTCTCCTTTTTTTCTTTTTCTTTCTCTCCAACCCTCCTGCTCCAACACACACACACACACACACAAACACACACTCACTACACCCTTTTTTCCCTTAATAAATTTTTTATTTTGGAATAGATTTCCAGAAAAGTTGTGAAGATAGTACAGAGAAGATGAACCCCACACCCAGCTTCCTCTGCTTTCAACATCTTACATTAATATGGTAGATTTGTCACATTTAATGAACAAATATTGATACATTATCACTAACTAATGTCCATAATTTTTTCAGATTTCCTTAGTTGTTTACCTGTTGTCCTTTTTCCATTACAAGACCCCATCCAAGACGCCACCTTACATTTAGTGATCTTGTCTCTTTAGGTTCTTCTTCGTTGTAACGTTTCTCAGACTTCTCTTATTTTTGATGACTTTAACAATTCTGAGGAGGATTTTGGAAAATGTCCCCTGATTCAAATTTGTCTGACATTTTCTCCTGATTGGACTTGGACTATGGGTTTGAGGAAGAAGCCCGCAGAGGGAAAGTGCTGTTCTCATCACATCATGTCAAGGCTACACACTATTTACATGACTTATCACTGTTGACACTAATCCCAATCACCTGGCTGAGGTAGTGTTTGTCATGGTTCTGTTTTGTAAAGTTACTTTTTTTCCTCCTTTCCATACCGTGCTCCTTGGAAGAAAGTCACTATGCACAATCTATACTTGAGGAGTGGGGAGTTTCACACTTCTTCCTTGAGGGCAGAGTAGCCCCATAAATTATTTGGAATTCTTCCGCACTGGAGATTTATCTGTTGTCCCCCATGTCTTCATTTATTAAGCATTTTTTAATACCTATACGGAGTCATGGGTATTTATATTATACTTTAAGTTATAATCTGATACTACTTTATTTTGCTGTTCAAGTTAGTCCAGCTTTGGTCATTGGGAGCTATTTCAGTGGGTTTCAATACCTCATTATTGTTGGGTTTTGGGGTTTTTTTAAGCACTTTCTGCATGACAAGATATTCTAAGCTCATCTGGTGTATTTCCTGCCCCTATCCTAAGCCTAGGAAAAGCCATTTTCTTTTTCTTTCTTACTTTTCTTTTTTTTTTCTTTTTTTTTGTGAGAGAGAAGTGGGAGGAGGGGCAGAGGGAAAGGAAGAAAGAGAATCTTAAGCAGACTCCACGCCCAGCACGTAGCCTGATGCAGGGCTTGATCCCATGACGCTGAGATCATGACTGAGCCAAAATCAAGAGTCAGACACTTAACCAACTGAGCCACCCAGGAGCCCTGAATCAGCCATTTCTTTATGGAGCACTGGTTCCTTTTACTGGAGAATGGTTTCTGAGCACTAGATGACCATACCTGTCTTATATCCCCCCATCCACTCCTCGTACCTGTTGCCACTGACCATGGAACAAATGGTAGATCTCCACATGACTGCTTGGCTTCCTAATTCAAGAGGAACTCCCAAGGTTCATGACATCACTGTCTGGCATGCTTCTTAGACCTGTTAGCTTCTTCTTCTTCTTCTTCTTCTTCTTCTTCTTTTTTTTTAAGTAGGCTCCACACCCAGTATGGAGCCAAACACAGGGCTTGAATTCACAACCCTGAGATTAAGACCTGAGCTGAGATCAAGAGTTGGCTCTTTAGCCAACTGAGTCACCCAGGTGCCCAGTAGACCTTTTACGAAGCATATTTGTAGCAGGACTCAACAAAGACCACAGTCCAGTCATGGAGGCAAAGGGAAGCCTATGAAGCTAACAGTCAGATGGCATTGGTTTAACCAGAGAGCCCCCTGATGACAAGGGTATTTGGGGTGGTCTGGTCCACTGGGGATTCCTTGGGGAAGATTGATCTTTAAAATCAGGTAACACTTTCGGGGCGCCTGGGTGGCTCAGTCATTAAGCGTCTGCCTTCGGCTCAGGTCCTGGGATCGAGCCCCGCATCGGGCTCCCGGCTCGGCGGGAAGCCTGCTTCTCTCTCCCACTTTCCCTGCTCGTGTTCTCTCTCTGGCTGTCTCTCCCTGTCAAATAAATAAATAAAATCTTTTAAAAAAAAAATCAGGTAACACTTTCATTGGAGTATAGAAGAGACAGGTGGATATTTAGATTCCCAGCTGTTTAAACCACCACTGGTAAGTGTCTCTGTGTCAGCCAGTTGGCCATCCCTGGTGCATTATTACAGAGAGGTCCAAATGTGCCATCCAATATTTTCATCAACATTTGAGATGGAGGTGGAGAAACATGCTTCCCAAATATCAAATTTGCACATACGGCAAAGTTGTAAGCTCCTGGGATAAAGACAGAACAAGAGACAAGATATCCCAACAGCCTGTCCTGTTGGCTGGAAAGAAGAATGTGAAATGTTACCAGGATAAAAGTGAAAGTTTTGCAATTGGGTTTTTAAAATCCATTGCATCAATACAGGGTAGGAGTAATAACCTGCACCGGCTCGTGTGAAAAACATCTGCGGATTTTCGCTGTGTGTTTCCAGGGAGCCAGCAGTGGTTGCCAGGCTGCCAAAGACCCAGTGTCCGTTCAGGCTGGACTAGTGGGAATGCCATGCTCGGGTTCAGGCCAGTCACCATCCCATGGTCCTCTGTACTGGTCAGACAGCTGTAGGAGCATTGTTGTTATTTCTGAGTACCACCTTTTAAACATTATATTGACAAACTAGTATGTGTCTAAAGGAAGACAATCAGGAGAGTGGGCAGAACCATCGCTATTCTGTGATGAAGGCTTGAAGGAATTAAAGGTGATCAGCCCAAAGAAAAGAAACAAATGCAAATTGAGAATGGTCATCTCTAGTTGGGAGAGGGACTGTCCGAGGGAAGGAGGAGGCTGCCTGTTTTGTGCAACAGGGCTCAGAACAACAGGAACAAGTTACAAAGGAGCAGACTCTGCACCCATGGAAGAAAAGATTGTGTGACAGTTAAGGACAACCAGCAGTGTGCCAGGCCTCAGGGACAGCCCGCTCCCCACAACTCCTTATGTGTGAGCAGAAGCTAATGCAAACGCCAAAGATGGGCAGAAGCTGCATAGATCCAGTCATTTTATAAATCAAGCTACTTATGGAGCTGCTGTTTAAGCAGATTTGGTCATGTATAACCTAGGACCATGAAAATAATGATTTGCTTCTGTATTTTTCTCCTGTGAATTTTCTAACCTCCCCAGGTTTCAGAAAAGTTGGTCAAGGATCCAGTTGGGAGGATGCACAAAAGATCAGCCCTCTCCCCCAAAACACAGTTAAATAACTGTCATTAAATGATTAAGCTTCAACTGCAAAAAAAAAAAAAAAAAAAATGTTGTTTTCTTGAGTAAAATTGGGAGAAACTCCATTGTATGTTCCATAATGGAAACATTATTTTCCAAATCAGTTGATGAATATTCGTTCAGGTCTTTGGCTGTGTCATGCATTAAATCCAATAACTGTAGAGGAAAAGAATGTGGCCCATTTCCCATGATGTGTTTTGTTTTCATTTACATCTGTGTATATTTCCCAGTTTGGGGCCACCTGTCCTCGAACAGCAGGAAGCAGGTGGTATATTCAGGGGCCCTAAGCCAAAACACATTAGCTCCTGAGCCTTGGTCTTGCCAAGGGTGTTTGCTGGCCGTGGGAATCATCTTTCCTCTGCCTTTGCACAGCTGTATGTTCTAAACCACTGGAGGGAAGACTGTTTTGTATTAAGATGCATTGTTTGTTTTAGATCATAAATCTTGTCAATTTGTCACCCGTGACTGTTCTTACAGCTTACAGGCCAGTGTCTGTGTAAATTCGGCTATGATGGGAAACACTGCAGAGGGTGCAAGGAAAATTATTACGGTGATCCACTGGGGCGATGCATTCGTAAGTATTGCTAATTCTAAAAACCTGAGGACCGTCCACCTGCTCCGACCATGAGCATGCTATGAGCCAGCTGAATTTTAAATTCCTCTATTTGATAGAAAATTCACAATGTGTAATCTTAGTTTTGAAAACAATATTTTTTATAGCCTTATAAAAAGATTTGTGTCAAACTTTAGGCTATATTAGATGTGTTGAAGCCTGGTTTGCAATTCCTCAAAGTCTCTAAAGTGGAACAAACGTCTGAGGTCATGACTTGTAGCCAGTTTTCTGCTATTTGGAAGCATGTTGACAAAAACAGCTTCTAGAAGGAGGTACAGGCTGGGAGATGGTTCATAGGAAGCCAGCAGAGGGGATGTTTCCTCACCTTGGAGCTCATAACTCTGGATCTTTCAGATACTCACTGATTCATTTATTTTAAGATATTCATAGTGTGCCTACTGGATAAGCTAGGTCATGAGCAAATAAGGCAAGGCCCCTAATCCCATGGAGTTCGTGGTCTAGTGCCTTTCGCCCCATGTCTTGGCACTGATTGCTGGATTTAGAGCAGCACTATCCAACAGAACTTTCTGCAGAGATGGAAACTGTCTGATCGGCACCACTGGGATGCAGGGGTCACTGGCCTGGGAGCTGATGAGCACTTGTAATGTGGCCAGGGCAGATGAGGAAAAGAATGTATGTTCAATTCATTTAAATTTCAGTAGCCCTGGATGGTTAAGTGGCTACTTACCATGTCCATATTGGACAGCACAGATTGAGAATCTGGGTTAGTTCTAGGAGGAGGGATTTTTGAATCCCTATAGTCCGCTGCCAAAAGAAGTCAATCCAAAAAAATATCAGATGTGGTGGGCTTATTATGGTCACCTCTACGTAGCCACACATGGTAACTCTTCTCCTCTCTATTCCTTTCTAAATGTGCTTTTGTGGCTAAAATAAATGGCCTTCATTTCCTTGCCCCACTCAAATCCATATCCTCAATGGTTTCCCTGGTCCCACTTAGTTTTCTAAGTGAAATTGCTACATTAAAAACCAGGGTTATCTTTTGGTAAGCTAAAAAAAAAAAAAAAAAAACAGGGAGCAATTTTGGCTCCTGGAAAATCTGTCTGAGCCTCTTTCCTCTGTGCCCTTCTCATATTTCAATAATCTCATTTTCTGAAATGCTTTCATCTTTGATAGAAAAAACTTTGCAAATGATCAACTCAGGCCACAGACCCCCTCTAACGCTCCTGGAAAAGAGCAATTAATAAGCTGGTGACTTGACATAGTGCTGCCCCTGAGGGGTTCCTGCTGAGGCCTCTGTGCCAAAGCCAATGTGCTGGACAGATGGTATCTAGCTGAGGAGCCTAGCGTGTTAATCAGTTTTTATTTGTAATCAGCATTTTTACTCAAGCTGTAAAATGCATTTTTAAATCACTCTTTCCTTGCAGTTAGTCCAGTGACGTAGGCTAATGATTCCCTGACCTTCTGGAAATTGCTGTAACTTCCATAGCTCTGTCCGTCCTCCATCCTCAGCCTTAATCAAAAACCTACTCAACTGAATTACATGTAGCATCTGTTCGTTTGTTTTTTTAACTAAGACAAAATTAATTTAATTGTCTCCCTTTTTAAAAGGACTTGATTTTTTAGAGCAGTTTTAGGTTCACAGCAAAACTGAGAGGAAGGTACAGAGATTTCCTATATATCCCCACAGCCCACACATGCATGGCCAGCCCCATTATCCACACCTCCAAGAAAGTGGCACGTTTTTTACAACTGAGGAATCCACACTGACACACCATAACCACCAAAGTCCGCAGTTCACATTATGGTTCACTCTTGGTATTTTCCATTCTGTGGGTTTGGACAAATGTATAAGGACACGTATCCACCATGACGGTATCATACAGAATATTTTCACTGCCCTAAAAATCCTCTGTGCTCCACCTGTCCCTCTCTGTTCACCCCTCACCCCACAGCCTGTGCCAACCACTCATCTTTTTACTGTCTCCGTAGTTTTGCCTTTTCCAGAATGTCTGATAGTTGGAATCCTACAGTACATAGCGTTTTCAGTTTGATTTAGTTCACTAGGTGATATGCATGTAAGGTCCCTCCGTGTCTTTTCATGGCTTGATAGCTCATTTCTTCTTAGCCCTGAAAAATATTCCTTGTACCACAGTTTATCTATTCACCTACTGTGGGACTTCTTGGTTGTTTCCAGGTTTGGGCAATCATAAATACAGCTGCTATAAAGATCCGTTGCAGGTTTTTGCATAGAGACGTAAGTTTTCAACTCCTTTGGGTAAATATGATGGAGTGATTCCCCCCCTTTTTTGAGGATGGACTGATTCTCCTTATATAATGGAAAACAGCATGGGTCAGCAGCCCCCAGGCTGGGTTTTGTTGAGACAGAGTGTGGTCACGAGAATTCTTAGAGGGTCGCCGGCATGCCTGAGTCACCTACGGGGGCAGTGGCCCCAGACACTAGGGTGTCGTCCACCACTAGGTCCAGGTTACTCACTCGTATAGGCAAAGGAGCCCACATGTGAACACTCACACAGTAAAGACGACACCTAGTATTTTCCTTCTGGAAACCATGAACTGATTTGTTCGTGGAACGCAAAGAAGAGTGCTGTATGTAATGGCCATTGCCCAGGTCTCTGTAATTATACCGGTTTTTAAACGTTCACCTTAAAAACGGGCGTCGGGGAGTCTCAGGGGAGAGGAGTGGGCTTGATTCTTGAGCGAGCCAGAAGCAAAAGGCCAAGTGACTGACATTCTCGGCTCCCTCTGTCTTCCACTTTAGCATGTGACTGCAACAGGGAAGGTGCCCAGAAGCCCCCCTGTGACCAGGACACGGGCATGTGCCGCTGCCGGGAGGGGGTGAGCGGCCCGAGATGCGATCGCTGCGCCCGGGGTCACGGCCAGGAATTCCCTGCCTGTCTGCGGTGTCACGGCTGCTTTGATCGCTGGGACCACACAGTGTCTGCCCTCTCCAAAGCCGTGCAAGGGTTAATGAAGCTGGCTGCTGACACGCAAGATAAAAGAGGGCCCGTGCTGGTCTGCAAGGCCAACTTCAAAGGCCTCAGAGAGAACATGTCTGAAATAGAAAGGATTCTGAAACATCCTGTTTTCTCATCGGGGGAATTCTTAACCGTCAAGGATTATCAGGACTCTGTTTGGTAAGATTTGTGCTCCAGCAATAGATTGCAAGTTCCTGATCTGCCTTGACTCCTGTGGAGCTTTATAAAGCAGACTTCAATTTCAAAATGTACCTATGTGGACGTTAGGGAAATAATTTTTCAGTCAGCGTCCAGGCTGGGGATCATGACTGTCTGTCTCTTTTTTACCTACTTAGGATTACATGGGATCTTTCCAGATGCCATCGATTAGAACAAAAAGGCAATCATTAAGAGCCTGATTTTGGAAAGCCCAAACCCAGCAGAGCTGAAAGATACAAAATTAGAAAAAGGGTTGTTTATCATACAGATATTTTTTTTTCCAACCAGGCACTCAGGGAGATTTGCTAAATCTTCCCAAATTCTTCAGTTGTTTGGAAAAGCCTGTACATTAATGTGAAGTCATATAGCAAGCGTGAGAAGTTCCTCAAAATGCACTGTCATTTTTATTATATGTTATATATATTTATATAACATTCATCAAACATTTCTGGACATTATGTTGGTTGGTCTGGACCAGGGCTCATCAGACCACAGGCAAAATCCCACACGCCACCTAGTTTTGTAAATCAGGTTTCACTGGTACAGCCCCGCCTATTTATGTACCTGTCCTCTGTGGCTGCCTTCTCGGGACAAGGGCAGAGTGGGGTAGTTGTGACAGGACTATGGCCCCCAAGGCCTGAAATATTTACTATCTGACCCTTTGCAGAAAAAGTTTGCCAACTGCTCTGGGCAAAAACCAGGATGCATGGGATACAGTTTTCCGTCCTTCTATGAGCACGTAGTCTACTGAGAAACCAAAGAGATTGTGATTATGTAGAAGAATATCCCCTGCTCCGCCCCCAGTCAAAGGTCCTGGATTAAGGAATAATTGAAGCTGTAGAGTTTTGTGTTATACAAAACACCAATGTCAATATAAAGCCATTTATTTTCATCAGGCAAAAGTCGCAGAGGTACATGGTAATAGCTTCAAAGTTACACAAGGAGATGGAGTCCACCGCCGTAGTTCAGAGGAAGGGCCATGCCCCTACAGGGCCCAGGGGGGTCACGTGGCCAGGACAGGCTGGCGACTGAAAGCAGGCACATCCACCACCTTGTAAAGACTATTGTCCTGCAGGATTTGGGCCCTGTGTCCCCAGGTCTTCCCACTTTTCCAGAGATGTCAGGCCTCCAGGTTTTTATGGAAATGTCCCCACTTTAAAATATAGCCAGCTGGGGCGCCTGGGTGGCTTAGTCATTAAGCATCTGCCTTCGGTTCAGGTCATGATCCCAGGGTCCTGGGATCGGGCCCCGCATCAGGCTCCTAGCTCCGCGGGAAGCCTGCTTCTCCCTCTCCCACTCTCCCTGCTTGTGTTCCCTCTCTCGCTGTATCTAGCTCTGTCAAATGAATAAATAAAATCTTTAAAAATAAATAAATAAATAAATAAATAAATTAATTAATTAATTAAAATATAGCCAGCTAATCCAATAATGCTCTTAAAAAGCACCGGACAGGCCAAATAAATGTGTCTGAGAATGAGCTTTGGCCCATGGACCACGGGTTTGTAGTTCTAGAATATGGCAAACAAAGTGGACCTGTCAGAAAGAAAGCAGAATGAGCCAGTCCACAGTGGTCACTCTAAACAGAGACCACAGGACCTCAGAGCAGAAAGACAGCAAGAGAAGCAGTAGTCCCAGGGCCAGGCCTGAAGCGATGAGGAAAGCAGTGAGTACTGGGCCTCTTCTGCCGGAAACCAGCATGCCTGTCCCTTCCCGGTCCACCTACTGAGCTCCTGTTCCTCCTTAGCAACCACCAAAACACCACCTCCTCTCTGACACCTTCCATGACCTCCTCAGAAAAAGACATGTCCTTCCTTCTCCATTTTCCCCCTTCCCTGTGCTTCCTGGGTCATCGCCTTACTGAGGGACCCCTGAGGACAGAGGGTACCTTCTCCAGGCTCGGTTCAGTCACATAACAAACGTTTGCTGGGTAAATTACCAATGAAAGGGGAGGCGGAGGGCAAGGAAGCCAGGATATCACGAGTACAGATTCCGTGACTGAAGTCCACTTATTGCTGTATGGCCTCAGGCAGGTTATTTAGCTTCTCCAAGCACCTGTTTCTTCATCCAAAAGGGGGGTCGAGTCTCTATTTCATAGGTTTCTTGTGAGAATTACTCAGACAAGCCTCTGAGCATGGTGTCTGGTGCATTGTAGGGCTTCGAGAGTACCAATTATAATAAGAGCAATTACTATCATTGTTATTATTATTATTAACCTGATGAATTATGGTCCTGACAGTTGGCGCCGGAAGGAAAAGTCTGTAGATTAGAAGGGAGAGTTAGAGTAGAAAATGCTAGGAAGCATTAGTTAATGCTTTGCATTTCTGCCAAGATAAATGAGTCCCATAGATTCATATTGTAATTTTCCTCAACCGTACTCTTCATGATTTGCACCGAATTTCCTTATCATGAAGGATATTACTAATTATTTCCTTGAACCCACTGTGGGTGCTGAACCCAGCAAATTGAAGCGGGACAGAGATAGGCATCATGGAGAAGAAGGTGAGGAGAATGAACACAGCCCAGGCCTGGGTACTCTCACCAACAAGGAAACCTCCTTGTCACTCATGGGAATGACAAGTTAAGACCCGGTATAGCAGTAGCTCTAGAAGGATCCTTGCTGCAGGCAGATTTATTCTCAGTAAAGAACTGGTTTTTGCCCTAGGCTGGGTGAGGACTTCCGTGTTAAAAGCTGAATATAGGTTGGATCTCATGGATTTAAATGAACAGTGTCTGAATGTGTGTTTTTGAAAACCCAAAGCAAAGGGAGACAGAAAGAGTCTAAATAGTTGAAATTGAAAGATTCAAAGCCTTTCTTCCACTAGACCTTGTATGCGGATTGTATTTTAAGTGAGTGCTAAAACGTTCCAGGAAGCTGAATTAACAAGAAAGAGAGGAACCATAAACAGAACTATAAACTGTCAAACACAACATCGAGGAAGAAGGATCCATTCTAATTATGAGGGTGCCTGATCACGAGGGCAATGTTGGTGTGTTTTTTTTTCACTGATTTATCAACAGGAATACAAGCTTCGCTACATTTACTCTCTTTTCCCTCCAGGGAACAAATCATGCAGCTAAGTGTGCAACTGAAAGAAGTGCATGAGTTTCCAGGTCTGAAAGAAAGGATAGGAGGAATGGGGAATGAAGCAGACCTCTTACGTGAAGATCTTCAGCGAGAAATCAATTTGCGCTTCCGCCCCCGTAATGCAAGCATCATGGGTAAGAGAGAAAATGCACTTGGATGGTCCGTTGATGGACAAAGGTTGCTGCCATCCATCGTTTATTCCATTAGCGCGGCACCCTGTGCTCGTTGCCACAGAGCCTGAGCACTTTAGGACTGAAAACACACCCATTAAGGTATTATTTGTACATGAATATTTCAACTTTTTAAGCAGTGCAGAGCTTGGGTAGCATCTGTTGAAAATAATGAATACAGCTAACTGTCTGATACTAAATAGATACTTAGTGACAGCCAGGGTATTATCCTAATGCCAAAGCATGCAAGGGGTCTTGTGTAACTGGCTTTGGACCGGGACCATGATGTTCCCAAACCTTGTCCCTCCGCGGAATGATGCCCAGAAAGGTCCCCGCCTTGGCTCTCCCCTCAGAGTCAAAGAAACACAGAGGGACACTCGGAGAAAGGACATCCGACCACTGCTGTCTAGGTTGCCACTTCAAAATGGTTCACAGCATGAAAGATTTGGACCGCCAACTCGAGCACGGGAACAGAATTCTTCCTGGGTTTACTGGGAAAGGCTCTGGGAAGTAGGTGACATTTGACTTGGACTTCACAAAATGAGGATAAAATTTGCCAGATAAATAAAGGCCAAAATCATCCCAAGCAATAGGAAGGTGTGGTTGTCTCATGCCCAACTTCTGGTTGCGTAGGGAGTAAAGATCAGGACCCTGGGCCTCTGGTTCCTAAAATACAGAGTTACCGTTGAAAGTCCTGCAACACTATCATTTGCAGTAAAATGAACTGTATTACCTTCATGATTTTGTATTTTACTAAAAATATGGAAAATATAGAGCAGTGCTGAAGAACATAGTTTCCAGAATCAAACCGCCGGCCTTGAAATCTTGTCTTGATCCCTTGCTGTCCGTGAGACCTCAGGCAAATAACTTACCTCTGGAGAGCCTTGTTTTCTCACCTGTAAAATGGGGGTGATCACGCTAACACGCACCTCGCGGTGTTTTGTGAAGATTCAGGAAGAAAACTGACAAGCGGGGCAGGCACAGAGAAAGCGCTGCACAATTGTGACCCGTTGTCATCAGCCTCCACATCACAAGTCAGCACACTATAGTCCACCCGCCACTTTTACCCGGAGCCGGTTTTTTTAAAGGGGTTTCACTAGGAGACAGACTCACCCGTTCGTTGACATTGCTTGCAGCTGCTCTCACTCTCCAGAGTTGAGAAGCTGTGCTGGACCCGCCGTGGCCGGCAAGCCTAGAACATTTATTCTCTGGCCCTTTCCAGAACAAATTTGTCAACCCCTGCCGCTCCATCTAGTTAGGTAAACTCGGCTGGTGTGTCGCGTTAGGGTTCGTACGGGTAGTCGTCATTAATACCAATGAATACATAATTAATACACCTGTGGAACACTTTACAGAGCATTCTCGTATTATTTCACTTAGTCCTCACAAATTACAGAGAAGCAAACACAATCTAAGAGATTAACTGGTTTGCTCAAGGACTTAGGCAGACAGCAAAGGGGAAAGCCAACACTCAAACCCATGTCTGCAGACTTAAATCTCAAGGCTCTGTACCTACTGATATCTGTTTCACTCCATCCGATCCTTCCCCATTAAGTGTAAATTCAACGAAGAGGATGATGAATTTTTGTTTTGGTCATTGAGACCAAGACATTGGTCACACTGTGGGATGATTGTCTTGATAACCAATATATAATTTCATTTGTTCTCACAAAACTTACCTTACCTCAATTTGCATTAATGTAGATTACTCAGAGAACATCAAGAAGCATTATCAGAGATCATCATCTGCTGAAAAGAAAAGTAGCGAAACCACTTCTATCATAAAAAACTCTGAAAAAAACAGGAATGACTTACTTACCATCTTTGATACCCTAACCTCAAAACAAAACTTGTCACTGGAAAAATTAAAGCAAATTACAGTACCAGATATCCAAATACTGAACGAAAAGGTAAATATTCACGATGGTGTAGTAAAAGTATTTGTGATTTCTGCTTGGTATACAAATCTCTTCAATTATATTTCCTGCCTTGCATTTTAATTTTTTATTTATACTTTATAAATGTATAAATATCATAATATATATAGATATGCTCTATTATTTAAGATATAAATAATATAAATATACTTCTATTTTATTTTTTTTATTTTCCAAGTCAAAGTTTGAGAAAATTCAGAGTAAGACTGTGGCTTGATTTTATTATCTTACATTTATTTATATAATTTGCTATTTCCACAATGGTACAGATTATAGACATTCACTCCTCTTGCTTTCTTATAAATAAAAGGTAATTTTTATTTAAAATGGCATCTGCCTTTGACTCAGGTCATGATCCCAGGGTTCTGGGGTCGAGCCCCGCATCGGGCTCCCTGCTCAGGGAGAAGCCTGCTTCTCCCTCTCCAGCTCCCCCTGCTTCTGTTCCCTCTCTCGCTGTGTCGCTCTCTGTCAAATAAATAAATAAAATCTTTTTCAAAAATTTAAAAAATGAAATTAACACACAAGAAATGCTAGATATTTGACTGTTTTCTCCAAAAACTCTTAAGCATAAAAATGGCATCAATTGACACAACGCTGACAACAAAAAATTCAGGTATTTAGTTACCTGGAAACATTTCACGGGGCTGCATCCTTGCGCTAAGCATGAACCACTGTGGAAGAAACACACATGCATAGAGCAGTGCTTTGCCTCAGTGAACCTGGATGGCATTAGCAAAACTCTGCCCACACGTTGCTTTTCAACATGAATCCTTTCTCCTGTGAGGTATGTGGAGAACCAGGGGACATGCCGTGCGTGCTCTCGTCCTGTGATGGCCTCAGCTGTCGTGGCTCCCTGCCCCTCTCGAGCGATGCCCTCCAGCAAGCTCAGGAAGCAGAGTTTGTGATTCATAATTTGAGCGACCAGGTTCAGGGTTGGAAGCTCCAGGTAAATATGTCTTCTCTTGTTTTATTTATAAAGCTGTAGCAATAGGAAGAAAAAAGCAAACTGTCTGAAATGTTTAAAACTGCCATTTAGCTTTGAGGCGAAAGGACAGGTTCTAGATATTACGTGTTCTTATGCTTGGAAACGTAGGATTAAAAATACAGATGTGGATGTAAATGTACATTTAGAAGTACATGTGAATATTGACATTTTCTATTATATATGTATCACATATATGTGTGTAAATGTATATTTGTGTGTGTGTGTGTGGAGAGAGAGAAAGAAATCAAAGTTTGTGTTTGTAGGACATAGACTCATGTAGATGTTTCTTTTATAGCAAACACTACATAGAAATGGGAGACTATTAGCCTTAAAGGTTTGAAAACTTTAGATTTCTCAAAGTAAAGACTAATTTGTACAAATTCAAGAGTATATTTGAAATTCTACTAAATATACAAATTCTAATGTTAAAATTTAATGTTAGAAAATATTTTAATAGGAATACACCCTTAGGTCTTGTACTCCTTCCTGTGTTTTTAGACATGAGACAGTGGTTTTAATATTTAAGTACCTGATGATTGAGTCTCTAATAACTTGAAATGTTTTCATTTATTTTTCTGATCATGTTGATAAATGAGAATAATTTTTAATTGCCTAGTTTTCCTTAGGGTTTTTTTTGTGTGTGTGAATACATTATATATTCACCTGGAAAAGATGAATACAATTTTAGGTATTCTGTGAATACACTGAATTCATCTTGTATACAAGATGATGATGTGTGCCCTAGTTTGCTCCATTTTTGACAATATACATAGAGTCTTTGATGAAGAAGAAAAATCTCTTAAAAAGCTAAATTTCTTTACCAATAATACGAGCACCAGGTGTTATATAAGACTGATGAATCACAGGCCTATACCTCTGAAACCATTAATACATTATATGTTAATTAATTGAATTTAAGTAAAAATTATTTAAATGAAAATATATCTACACACAAAAAATATATGTTAAATATTATAGCAGGGAGCATTCCTGTTTGTAAGCAACAGAAACCAACTCCTGAAAAAAACAGTCTCAGAATCAACAGGAGGATAGAAGGTCAAGCTTGGGAATGGGCTGAGAACCACAGCTAAGATATGGTGCATATCTCAAGCACACACACACACACACACACGTGCACACACGAGCTTGCATGCACAATGCACACACACAGAACAGCAGTTTCCTCCTTGAGCCTCCTGCATGAGCCTGAGCCCCAGCTGGTCCCAAGCCCTTGCTCCACATGCTCCCAAATCCAAGTTCTGGGGCAAGCCTCTGATTAGCCCAGCTGGTGGATATCCCTATACATCCTGAATGTTGAAAATTTTTATTTACGTAGTCATAATTCTGCATTGCTACCTAGTTTTCACTTGTATGTTATTCTTCCTTCTTTGAACAAATATTCATTGAGTGCCTACTATGTGCAAGACATTTATCTAGATGTTGGGGAGCCAGCGGTGAACATAACAAAGACAAATCCTGGTCCTGCATCCCGGTGGTTAAAATAATCCTGAATTGTTCAACATAATTTTATTTTATTTTATTTTAAAGATTTTACTTATTTATTTGAGAGAGAGAGAATGAGAGAGCACATGAGAGGGGGGAGGGTCAGAGGGAGAAGCGGGATTCGATCCCGGGACTCCAGGATCATGACCTGAGCCGAAGGCAGTCGCTTAACCAACTGAGCCACCCAGGCGCCCTGTTCAACATAATTTCAAACAATTACACCTTACTGCCCCTTCTCAAAAAAACCAGAAACCTCACACCATTTAAAGAAGCCCTGTGTTAAGCTTTTACTTTTAAAAGATAGTCCCTGACATATGTTCTAGCAGAATTTGGCTTCATCAGCACGTAAATGAACAACTGGAAAGGGTGGGGGCGGGGTTTTTCATGTTGATAAAATGGTGTGCTATTTCCCTCTTGATTAGATGGGGGGAAGAGTGCCAGAAAAGATTGTGAGAGAATTCTCAGGAGCCAGTGGTGACAGAGGATGGATTGCAGAGAGATGTTTTAAGAGTGAAGTAATTTAGCAATCTCTTTCTCTCTGAACACAGCATTGACTAATCAACACAGATTTCATCTCTATAATTTTGTGTTTTCCTGTCCAGAGTATTTATTTCTGGAATTCTCATTTTACTTCCACGTGTTCTTACTTACTGCTAACCATTTTATTCTTTTTATTTGGGAGAGATATAATTAACATAGAACATTTTATTAGTTTCAGGCATACATAATTTGGTAGATGTATATATTGCAAAATGATTAGCACAAGAAGTTTGGTTAACATCCATCACCTCACCTAGTTATATTTTTTTGTCATGGGAACTTTGAAGATCTCTCTCAGCAACTGCTCACCATTTTAAGGTTTTCAAAGTTCTAGAAAATTAAGGGACAACTCTCCAAAAAATGAAGATACATATTTTTAATCATGTAAATATTTCTTTTTCATTTCATCATTTGCCAATGAGTGCAATTGAATCCTTTTCCACAAAATCCGTATAGCTCACATTAAGCTGGCTCCTTTTGTGGGGAAATAAGGGGAGATTTTTTTTTCCTAATTGTGTTTGATCCTAATTAGCCCTACTTCTGTCACAATTAATTTATTCCATACAGCTCAACTTGGTGATATTACCCTATTGCTTTCTGAGTTTTTTTTTTTCTTTCTTTTTCTCTAATTTGTTAGAATCTCAAGAAAAGCCCATGAATTTTTCTCAAATCACATAATTAAGAATTTGCACTTCTAGAGGGCAAGTTTTAGACCTATCATTCCTCCACCAAGTGTACAAGATGTTTGGAATTTATCTTTGTAGCTTGCTCCGAGTTCAAACTCGTTTATTAAAAGGAGGAATGCTTTCTTTTTAGCTTTCAGAAAAAGTACATTATTTGAATTTGAGGAATGTCAAGAAGAGTAATTATTTTAACTTACATAAAAGAAAATGCTCTTAACTTATTAAACATAATGACCACTCTACGTAGTCCCAAGTAATTTGCTGATGTGATAGGAATGCTAAAGTCTCATTAAAACAGAATTTGTGTTTTACATTTGTATAAGGAAAAGTCATTAGCACTAGGTCAAAACTGTTTTCAAATAATACTTTTGGTCACTAATAATGGTTTTAAGAGATAAAGTCACATTATTTTTTAAAAGATTTTATTTTTTAAGTAATCTCTACACCCAACATGGGGCTCAAACTCACAACCCTGAGATCAAGAGTCACCTGCTGCACCGACTGAGCCAGCCAGGCACCACAAGATAAATTCACATTAAGCAAAAATGATAATGAAAACAAATAATATCACCTCATAAATGAATCCCTTAAAATTATCTTTTAATTCTCTATAGTCCTATTTTGTTTTTAGTGAGTTTCATTTGGTCCAGCTAAGTAAGTAAACATCACACAATGTGCCTCATTGTGTTTTTTCCTCATTGTTATTTTTTTCTTATTCCAGCTCAAAAATGTAAGTAAACTGGCAGAAGTCTCCAAAAACAATGCCTTACAGCTAAGTGAGAAACTGAGGAATATGAAAAATCAAAGTGAATCTGAAGAAGAGAAGATGAGTCTTTTAATCAAAAAGCTGAAAATGTTTTTGTCAGGTAATTAGAAAAATATATTGAAACTAGTTTTGTTTCTTTTTCTTTGCTTTTTTTTTAAAGTATACTCAAACAGCATAACCAATTTCAAATTACATAAGTGGAAATGAAATGCCTAAATCAGAAACATGATGTACCCCTTGATTTAAAATTTCTTTTTTTTTTTTTTTTTTTTTAAGATTTTATTTGTTTGCGAGAGAGAGAATGAGAGACAGAGAGCATGAGAGGGAGGAGGGCCAGAGGGAGAAGCAGACTCCCCGCCGAGCAGGGAGCCCGATGCGGGACTCGATCCCGGGACTCCAGGATCATGACCTGAGCCGAAGGCAGTCGCCCAACCAACTGAGCCACCCAGGCGCCCCTGATTTAAAATTTCTTAATGAAAATAATCCCCAAATATTAACTCTGTACGAAAAAAAAATATATATGTATATATGGCTATCTGTATAAGATAAATTTAGTAAAAAGTCCTAGAATTTAGTTAAAATTTCAAACAAATGAACTTGGTGCTTAAAGTTATGTGGTTTTTTTAAGAAAAAAGTCTAACATGATGATTCTATCAGATTTCCTAATGTTATGATTCCATGATTTTCTCTGCTGACAGACTGTGTGAGATCAAGGCATGCCAGATTTGGTTAGTATACCAAATACTATAGTGAGGTGGTATCTAAAATATCGGTTATTAACTATTATGGACTATTTTCCAAGTTTCATATTGGTTCTCTGTGATTGGCCAAAAGGTACAATTTGATCCATTTATTATTATAATTATGATGTTATTATCCCTCATTGTACCTTATTATGGGAGAAGTTCACTTTGATTTTATTTTTTTAGAAGTTTATTTTAAACTACAGAGAATTATTAGTTGAAGATAAAAATCAAGTAGTACAGCTGGAAATTGACCTGAAAACTCACTCTGTGTAAATAACGCAGCTTGGGTACATTATATGGAATTAATCTTAAGAGGCTTTCTTCTCCATCACCGTCTTCCAGATTCAGTAACTTAATACTCCTCACATGAATCAGCTGACAATTGGGATGTCTGTTACCATCGTTGCAACCACTTTGTGAACCTGTTTAATATTTGTAACAGACCCCTATGGCCAATTGTTTTTTCCACCTCCATATCTCTAGATACTGTATGAACAGTACTAGTCTTGATTTTCAAAATAAGAACAAAATGAGGCAGTACAAATAACCAATAAAAATGACCAAAATAATCAGTAAAAATGAATGAGGTGGGATCTGTCTACTGGATGTTTTGTTTGTTCAAAAGCCAGTTTTCAGTGAGTTAGCATTGATTAGACACAGATCCAGGAACTGGTTGGATTAAGGAACACCTTAGCTATTTCTGCAGATACAGGTCGATTCAGGCACCAAGACCAAACCAAAACCAAACTGCCAGACCAGTTGTGCGAAATGGCGTGATACACTTCTGGGCCCCAGCGATGGCTCAGAAGGCAAGTTCTACTGCTTTCCACCTCATTCACTGGGTTATAGAGCCTATTCCCTTACTGGTCTCATTTCTCATTGCTGCTGAATACATCTCTAATAATAAAGTTTAATTACCCCAAGGAGTTAAAAAAAAAACAACAAAAACTGTGTCCATTATTACAACAAAAATTAGACTAGGCAAAGGGAAAAATCCTATTCTATAAAAGAAACATCTCTGATCTGGGCCCCAAGATCCTTGGCACCAGGAAGCAGTACCCTTCACTCACCAATTTCTTTTCCTCTATCCTTTCCATAAAGCCCAAATAAAAGTATTATTAAATTGTATGGTGGCTACACTACTCCACTCTTCTTCACCTTATTAATATTTTCCTTGGGGTCTGAATTCCCCATTAACAAAGTATGTGTCACTTCTCCTGAAAGTCCCATAGAAAAATTTTGAATTTATGATCTCATAACAAATGCCAATAAATGTTCAATGACAAATATATGGCTAAATTAAATTCACTTTTTATTAGAACCCTTTTTATAAAATGAAATACCATTTCTTTCAAAAGTCAACTTCCAAGAATAGTACATTCTGTTTCAAGTATGATTTTGATTTACTCACAAAAAATCTTGTTACTTTTTTTTTTCAAAAACATGACAGGAAGTAAAATACTCCTTTTATTTTAAACAAGACAGCTAGAGCGAAAATGATCACCAAAGGATATATACTCATGTCATGTCCGTCAAATGCTAAAAGGTGTCTGTGGTGCCCACCGCCTCCTGAAGAAGAAGCCAAGGTCCTTGGCCTCACATTTAGAGGCTCCTGTGCTCTGCTCCCAGCCTTTCGGGACTTGCACCCCCCGCCCCCGCATTTAGACTCGACTCTCTCACCAACACTGATCCGAGGACTGCTTCATGCTGCACCCAAGCTTTGGCATCTGTGGGTCGCTCAGTTTAGAATGCCTTTACCCCTGCCTTCACCCCACATTTCCACAGGTATAACCTCTGCTGTCCTCCAGGCTCAGTTTATGTGCCTTTTTGAGGTTCTTCCTGAAATATTTTCTCCTCCCTCTGGATCCCATATCATTTCGTCTTCTATTTATCATTTCTATTCTCATGTGATCAGTATTCATATGGAATGGCTTATACTCCCCCACTGGATGGTCAGCACTTCAACTGCCCACACGGGCTTTAGCATTATGCCTCAGTAAGGAGCCAGAGATCACAGAGTGTTAGCACCCCGGACCCGAACAGTCCATCTTCCGCTTCAGTTCTCAGGAAGGCCGATTTTATTTTCCTGAAAAGCAGGGCATGGGTGTATTTAACAGTTTCCTGGTAACACGTTATTCATCCAGTACTTTACACTCTATTGTCAAATTCCCTTCTCAAAATAGGACTTTGAGTGGTAGCATCAGGTAGAGTTGCCCTGTTACACAGATGAGCAACCACTGTGAGCCTTTTGATGTCACGGAGGATTAGAATCAAGTGTTGTTGAGTCCAAACCTGGCGCTTCCCCAGTGTCTCATTCACTGTATTCAAATCTTCGTAACAGGCATCTAACCATTTTAATTGCTTTTTGACTTAACTGGTTCTTAGGAGGACGTTTCGCAGAATATATACAATATTCCAAGTCTGTAGTTTTTCAGTTTTCCAGCAAGCATTTGTGTAGCCTGTATTCAACACTACACGAACAGTGTTTCTTTCAGAGAGAAGGGATGAAGAAGAATCTACGGACGTAGACAGTCTAATCCTGGTGTCCTAGGGACACATAATCAGTTGCACGTACTTATGACTTAGAGTTTGTTGTGGTTGTATTTACTAGATACAGTGTTTACTAAGGAGACACAATGACCTAAAACCACCTTCTTATTTAAGAGGAAAACGTGCCTCCAGAGGACATAGAGAAGGTTGCAAATCGTGTACTTGACATCCACCTACCAATGACATCACCGAATTTAACCCATGAACTTGACAAAATACGGAAGCTGATGCAGCTCTATGAGGACTATGGAACAGATGAGGACAGGCTATGTAAAGCAGCAGAGGAAGCCCAAAAGGTTTTGGTGAAGGCAAAAGATGCTGAGTAAGTACAGTATTAATATTCTCATCTTGCTCGCCCAGGCCAATTCCTAAAAGGCCATCTGAAAAATATCTGGGTGAGGAGCTATTGAATGTTCGAATGAAATTACCCTCCAGTAGCTCAGTGCCCAGGGTGAGGGCTAAGCTATTTGCAGGAGCCTCAGGAAGCTGGGGGATTGGGAGGCAGGGGGCAGGAATGCTTGTTTCCCATTTGCTATAGACTTGGAATGCCTTTCCAGTGACCTGTTACTCTTTATACCAATTAATGCCATATATTAGCTGTATGCTAATATCTTAACAGGTGGTGGGAATATCGGTGTCTTTTCCCTTTCTTGCTTCCCTTCCCTTTCTGCTACTTCCTAAATGTACCATAATAGACAGTACTTTGAAGATCTAAATTTTTTTAAGAAAGACTACACTAATGGGGAGCCTGGGTGCCTCAGTCAGTTAAGTGTCTGCCTTCGGCTCAGGTCATGATCCCAGGGTCCCAGGATCGAGTCCCACATCAGGCTCCCTGTTCAGCAGGAAGTCTGCTTCTCCTTCTGACCCTCACCCCTTTTGTGCTCTCTCGGTCTCTCTCTCTCTCTCTCTCAAATAAATGAATAAGCTCTTAAAAAAAAAAAAAAAAGACTACACTAAAAAGATATGATGGTGAGGAGTAAAAGAAATGAACACTAGTGCCCTAGGAATAACACGGGAGTAAAACTACAGATATGGTACCCAGAGTTCATTAACTCGTGCTTCCTTTTGCCCTTGTTGACTTAGCCAAGCAAATGGGAAGAGGCGTGTTGGTGTTTTTAGGAGCATGGAGTGCTGTGGGTCAGCGTTGTGGGCTCGGTTGGATGGTGGCAATACCATCACGTCAGGACGCCCAGCAGTTGAGACCTGAGCTTTCTTTGCCGTCTCCCCAGCCACTTGCATAAATGAAGTGCACCAGACTCCCCTGTGGGCCCAACCCCTTCCGGTTTTAATACTTACAACCAGGAAGACGAAGTAACTGCAGTAAGATCACACAGCTGTCAGAAATGATGCTGAGGAAGGATTCTTTATAACATGCAGGGATTCTTCGAGCGTAATGTTAATGCTTTAAAAAAAAAAAAAGGTAACATTATATATAGAAGAGGATCTCCATCATGGAAAGAAAATATTTTGTAGGACAAAGATGCTAGAATATGCTGGTATCTTAAAAAGATTAGTGGTAAATTTTTCCCTTCCTGATAGGTTTTTTTCTCTTTTTGTGTGTGTTGCTGCCTCCTCCTCTCCCTCCTCCTCTCCCTCCTCCTCCTTCTCTTCTTCTTCCTCTTCTTCTATTTTTAGGTATTTTCCCAATTTACTCTAAAAGCAGTTACATTGAAAATTTAAAGGAAAAAGAATAAATACAAAGATATGGGGGGGTGTTATGAGAAGGGAAGCCTCCTGAACCCCTTCTGTAACTGTAGGGAAAGAAGTAAAGAAAGGGAAGCCTACTTATTATATGGTTCAACCATGGGATATTCTGGAAAAGGCAAAACCGTGGAGACAGTAAAAAAGATCAGTAGTTGCCGGGGGTTGAGGGGAGGGATGAATAGGTGGAGCAGAGAGAACTTTTAGGGCAGTAAAAATACTCCGTGTGATTCTAGAATGATGAATACATGTCATTATACATTTGTCCCAAGTCACCAAGTGAACACCACCAAGAGTGAACCCTACTGTACACTCTGGACTTTGGTGTCTCTAATGTGTTGATGTAGACTCATCCTCTGGCGGGGAGGTTGGCTAACGAATGTCCCAGTCTGGCGGGGAGGTTGATAACTGGGGAGGCTCTGCGTGTGTGGACACGGCGGGTATAGGGAACTCTCCGCACCTTCTGCTTTTTGCTATGAATCTAAAACAGCTCTTTAAAAAAATAGCCTTTTTAAAAAGTGAGAGAGAGACTCCACTGGGAGGAGAAGTAGGGTTGCGTGGGGCAGGGGATGTTTTGCAGTTTAGCTAGTTTTGCTCTTCCACATGCATTTCAAATGATGCTTCTGCAAAGGTCTATCTGATAGTTCACTCACTTGGTATATTCTTCCAAAGGTGGTTTTGAGCCCACAGATCCAAGTATCTGGTGAGTGTTGACTTGAGGTGAGCTTATTTCTGTAAAATAGACAATCAGTTGGAATGCTTGTGATTTTAACCTCTGACGGGGCCCCTGGCAGCTAGAATGTCAGTGGAGCTTAAATAAATCTGAATAAACACAGCCTGGAAACGGAGGACTTTTAGTTCTCTTTGCTGTCTGTGGGGCCCCTTCACTCTCCCACCCCTGCTCCGGTGAGGATTTAGAGTGTGGCTGAAGTGGGAGAAATTAGGGAACTGGAATTGGCCGAGGATTGTTATTTTGTTCAAAGCTTGCCAGTGACGGTCCTCATGCCTCTCTGGTTAGGACAAATTAAGAATAAACAAGACCTGTATCTTTGATTTGCATACCTGGCGAAATCTGTATCTACTTGATATGCATATATATGCGTTGTTATTGGCATTTCAACCTACCTATTTCTCAAAATAAAGATTACCGCACTTGGCCTTGCTTAAGAGCAATTTAAATTTACTTTATAAATAATTCAGTCAAGCTTTTCGTGGAGTCGAATGGACTCCCAAGGTGAAACAAATGAATAATTGTGTATTTATCTAATCTGACACGTTAATATCCTACCTTAGAAAAGCAGCAAATGTTCTATTAAATCCTGACAAAATGCTGAATAAATGGCAACGAGTTCAAGTCACCCGAGGACGGGTAAATTCTACCATCACACAGCTGACGGCAGAGATAACAAAAATTAAAAAGAATGTACTGCAGGTATTTATCTTCTTGGAAACTAAGCTGAAAAAGATTTTGAATGTGGAGACAGCCTGGTGTTGATGTGTGCCAATGTCATACTTGCCTGACCTGCCTGATGGGTTGATTGTAGGATAAAATGAAACAGTGGTGCTATGATACGTTTAATTGATGTTCTACAGAGTTCCCACGGCATCACTTCATCATTGCCGACCCCTCCTGGGGGACGAAGCAGGTGCTACCACCAGCTTGTAAATGAGGAAATTGAGGCTCAGGGAGGTTAAGTGACTTGCCTAAGGTCACACAGCTAATTAAAGGTAGATTTGAGGTGGGAATTTATCCCTTCTGATTCCAGGGAAAGTAATAGACTCGTTAAAGCTCACAAGGCAAAGAAATAAAGTTCGTTGTTGCCAGGTTTTTGTAACTGCCAGGTTTGGCATGAAATCTCATCAGAGTACCTTAGGACTAAAAGGATATCTTACCTGAAAGAAAGTGTTCCATCCGGAGCTCGGTGGGAGCCCGGCCATGGTTTAACCCCCTTCATGGATCCGGGAGAGGAAGTCTGGCAGTTGGCGGACAGGACAGGACCTAGTCCCAAGCCGTGTGCAGTATCTTCCTCCAAGGCTCCATCCTCCAGCCCATCCCCTTCTCCACAGAATGCCTGCTCCCCAGTCTCTGTTCTTCAGCCAGGTTGTATAGATCCAAACGCAAGACGCATTTTGAAAAGAAAAGCAGAAAGAGAGAGAACAGGAAGTAGTGCACCAGGAAATGAAAAGCTTAGATGTGAACAGGTTTCAAATACAGGGTAGCAAAAAAAACCAAAGAAGGCCTCCAGGTTTTCCCCTTTGAGGCATATACGCTAGACCCGGGGATGGCCAAATATAGCGCATGGGCCAAATGGGCGCACTGTTTGTTTTCTTTTTAATCTAAAATCACAAAGTTTTATTGGAGTCCAGCCACGTATTGTCTGTGGCTGCTTTTGTGCCACGGCGGCAGAGAGTTGAGGGTTGTAATAGAGACTTCATGGGCCACGGAATATAAAACATTTACTGTCTGGTCCTTTACAGAAAATGCCTGTAGATTTGTGCTCTAGAAAAAACATGTCCAAGGGCACAAGAAGGTTTTTGGTTTTGTTTTGTTTTTTACAAATACGGTAGACCAGGGCTCTCACGGAACCCTCCTGGTAGAAAAAAAACCCAAATGTTGGCTGGGATATTTTTTTAAAAATTGTAATACATAGCTGAATTAATAAGACATGGAGGAAATCTTCGGAGGCCAACAGTGACGGGGAAGTACAAATTCAGAGAGGTAATAAAGCATGAACCTGACGGCAGGCAGAGGATGTCCGCCAGTCGCTGGTGTAGGAGAGCTGTTGGCTTTAATGCTGGCCATGCATAAGAGACAGAAAACAAAGGAGAGAATATGAGCCCTGCATGGAAAGGCAAAATCCTCAGTGAAGTGTTCAACTACTACTACCTGCTACTGCCTGCCCACCGCACGCATGTATGTGCACACAACCACACACACACACACACACACACACACACACGGAGGGGCAGTGCCAGCAAAGACTCTTGCTGTGGGGGAGGAAGGTCTTCACTAAGCATTGCTAACCGTAAGCTGGCTCTTACACGAGTTCGAGGTTAGAATCACACTACCCGTATGGCCCTGATAACCCAAGCTAAAAAATGTCACTTAAAGTGATTGTGGGCTGAGAGTGCCCTCAGAGGCCTGACAGAGGCCAGCAGAAATCCCCTCCCAAGGAATGCACCTTAAAAAGCCTCAAAAATGTCTCTCAAAACACATAAAAGAACAAATTGCCTCAAGCAAGAGGCACCAGAAAGAGTAGACAAGAGACTGTGGATTATGTCGGTTACTGGATGTAGAAATACAAAATCAGAATGTTCATTATGCTTACAAGAATCAAAAAAGGTATAAAAGTATGACCCAAGAACAAGATATAAGAGATAACAGATGACTAGTCAGCTTTGACTTCTAGATGGGACAAATGGAGCCACAGAAATAAGAAACAAATATTAAGATGTTCCTTATTGTTTGTAAGGAGGAAAAATGAGAAGCCACCTGCATCAGCTGGAGAATAAAAATATAAATTGTATGTTCAAACAATGCAATGCTTTAAATTGCTAAAACTGAATAAACAAGAGCTATGCAAATTTGTCAGGAAGAACTGTACAAGCATAATTTTGAATTAAAATTCAAGTAGCATATATTTGTATAAAGTTAAAAAAAATACTGCATATGTTAGATCACATAGGATATAGGAAAAAGCGGGTAGAAGTATGTGGAATGACAAATATTAGATTCAGGATAGTGGTTACCTTTATGGGGAGGGAGGGGGTGTGAGGAGAGCCTTAGCTGAGGTGCTTTACTCTTAAACTGGCCGCTGAGTGCATGGATACATGTCATAGTTGCTTTTATAACCATGTGGATGTCTGAAATATTTATTACAACGTTGTTTTCAATGGAACTGAAAAAATTGACGGAATGATTCACTTTCCCTTCCCACCTAGCTTATTTTCTGAGGGGTAATTATATCATTTGTTTTCTTGTTGTTTTTACATAAAAAGACCTTCTCCTCTCTGCTCTTTAAATCAACAACAGGCTGAAAATGAAGCCAAGGACACTAAGAATGAGCTGGACTTAGCAAAGCAGCGGTCAGTGCTGGAGGACGGGCTTTCCCGGCTGCAGACCAAGTTGCAAAGGAATCGAGAGCAAGCCACCCGTGTGACAGCTCAGGCCACATTGGCCCAACGCCAGGCTGGGGGCCTTGAGCAGGTCATTAGCCCCACCAGTGCCACCAAGAGCAGACAGACAGAGCCTCTTTGAAGGATAATCCTCTAACCTCAGCTCCTTGTGCCGTTTATCAGCGGTTCCCTTAGTGCTGGACCGTGCTCAGTGGCATGTTACGTAGTAGTGATCCCGACAGGCATGAAGCCTCTTCTGTAGTGGAGGACTGTCTCCAGGGAAGACAGAAGTCCTTTGACCAAATTAGGATGGGGTGTTTCCTCCCCGAATCTCCTCCTCCTAGGACTACTAGTGGTGTCCTCGTCAAATGTTTCCTTTCTTCCAAACGTTCACACTTTGTGCCATGGGTCTATCTTGGGTGTACTTACCCTTTACTCTAATACAATCACATAACCTATCATGAAAACAAAGAAGTGAAAGTCACCTGCCAAAGAGAATAGGTCAAGTTAAAAAAGTCAGAGTTAATTAAACAGTTGTGGAAAATACCCTATTCATCTAGGTTGGTGAAAGAAACTATCAACTCATTTTCTCAGCAGGGTATCTCTGGTTGGTTGCATTAATAGAGTCACTTAAACACAAGAAAAATGTGAAAGTGTTTTTACAATTGGTCCATTCTCTTGCTTTTCATTCCTGATAGCTGGGTAATTTCCCACAGACTTGGGAGTTGAGCACATTTTCTATGGAAGGGAGGTTGGGAGAGGTACTTCTGGTCCATCCTATCCCCATTTCCCTTCCTGGGCATCACCTAGCTGTTCCACATTCTAGACTGTCAGCCACCCAGGCTGACCCCCTAGGTTTCCATTCGAATGCCGAGGGAGCTCTTCATGCTAACACGTGTACTTCCCTTCCTGCCTCACGGCTCTCTTACCTTCTTGCCCGCCAAAGAACGCATCCTTGCTTCTAAAGCTTCACGGCTCCCTCTGCCCTTCACCCTGCACTGGCCGCTGACCCACCCAGCTGACCCAGAGGTTTGTCACAGGCAGGATTGCGTCCCTCCTGTCCTCTGTATCTCTCACCTTAAGTCTTTTAGGACAAACGATTGGTGCCCCATAAATAACTGCCTTCGCACAGAATCATGATTGCTACTTTATAACAAAGCAATTTTATTTTTAATTAACTAAAGCTGAGAATTTTTTCAGCCTGCAAAGAAAAAAAAATGCAAATAAAAGCCTGGAAATATCAGGGTGACTCAAGCATATTGACTGGATCATGGTTTTCCTCTTCCTCCTTTTATGAACAGTATCAGGCAAATATCATGCATGGGTACATGCTTTGTAAATATTTTCTGGTGATGGGAAGGTGTTGCTCTGTTATAGGCGTTTGCAGAGCTGAAAAACCAATATGCTGTTCTTCAACATAAGACCAGCGCTACAGGACCGACAAAGGTGACATTAGAAAAAGTGGAGCAGCTAAAAGATGTGGCAGAAAAACTGGCCATAGATACAGAGGACAAGATAAGAAGAATAGCAGGTATCACTTCTTTTCTTCCAGCTTTATCGAGGTCTAGGTGACAGGTGAAATTGTATATATTTAAAGTGTACAACGTGACAATATACGTTGTGTTATGATTACCATGATTAAGTTAATCAACACATCCATCTGCTCACATAGTTACTGTTTTCTTTTTATGGTGAGAATGCTTAAGATCGACTCATATACACAATGCAATACAACATTGTTAACTAGTCAGCCCACACTGAGCATTCAATCCCCAGAAACTTTTCTTCTTAAAACTGGAAGTCTGTACCTTTGCTCAACCTCTCCCCATTTCCCCCACCTGCTGGACCCTGGCAGCCACCGTTCTTCTCTCTGCTTCTATGAGTTCTAGGTTTGGGTTTTTTTGTTTCTTTTTCTTTTTTTTTTTTTAGATTCCATATGCAAGTGAGATCATATTGTATTTGTCTTTCTCTGGCTTATTTTCACTTAGCGTAACATCCTCCGGGTTCACCTATGTTGTTGCAAATGGCAGGATTTCCTTCTTTTTTTTTTTTTTAAAGATTTTATTTATTTATTTGAGAGAGACAATGAGATAGAGAGAGCATGAGGGGGGGAGGGTCAGAGGGAGAAGCAGACTCCCTGCCGAGCAGGGAGCCCGATGCGGGACTCCAGGATCATGACCTGAGCCGAGGGCAGTCGCTTAACCAACTGAGCCACCCAGGCGCCCCGATTTCCTTCTTTTTTTATGGTTGAATTTTATACACCCCCCCACACACACATTTTCTTTATCCATTGATGGGCACTCAGGTTATTTCCATATCTTGTTTATTGTGAATGCTGCAATGAACATAGAACACAGATATTTCTTCGAGATATGGATTTCATTTCCTTCAGATATATACCCAGAGTGGGGACTGCTGGATATTATGGGAGTTCTATCGATTCTATTACACACTCCACCAATTTGACAATAGCTTAATACTTCACCTTCCTGGTAGTATTTATACCAACTTATCACTGGCACAGTTCAGCTACCTATGAGCCCACGGAGTCGAAGAAGTAGGAATTGGGTCAGTGCCTTTGGGACTGCAATATAACAAGCCACTTGCATGGTTTTACTTCAAAGGGTATCAGGGAGTCTCCACTCTGCCTTCATCAGAACAAACTCCCATTGCCTTCAGTCAACTGGAAAAGCCCTTTTCCTAACCCCCTGGTTCTCAACCAGGGGTGATTTTATCTCCTTCCCTGGGGACAAAAGTGTCTGAAGACATTTCGTCTTGTCACAACTAGGGGGTACAGCTAGCATCGAGTGGATGGGGGCCAGGGACGCTAGTAAACATTCTATAATACACAGGACAGTCCCATGATGAACAGTTGTTTTGCCCAGGGCACTAAGGGTGTGGATGTTGAGAAATTTGAGAAACCCCGTCCTAACCTATGCTGCTTATTATCTCCTCCCGAGCAGATAACTGTTTTGGAGTCACTATGATCTAGACTCTCTAAGGCACTCGTCATCTTGTATAGATCTGTAGGTAGCATTCCAGAAGGATCCGTAGTCTGGATCAGCATTTTGATCAAAAGTGGAAATTTTGATGCGCACCAAGTGTAGTAAACATGGAATACACACAGTCAGAAAGTTAATTAGAATCTTTTTTCCCCACAACGGGTGCTCATGATTTTTCTGGGTAATCATCATGCCCTTAGCAACTACCTCTAAATCATCAAGAAATATCCAATGATGAATGGTCTAGTTCTACTTTTGGTTGCATTTATTGTCTCCAAAACTTTAAAGTTAGTCATACTCATTTGGAATATAAGTAATTCTCAAGGTATTAAAACAACCAAGCCTCCTCATTTATAATGCTTCTTTGTTATAAAATGAGTCTTTGCCTTAGAACCATTCATATCACCACTATGACATGAAAAAAAATGAAAATGCAACATTGGTGTGGGCCAAAGTCAGGAAAAATACATACCAAACTGTTAATATTCTGTATCTCTGGGGAGGGGGAGAGTGAAGAGGAAAACACTGCTTTTTGCATTTATATAATTGTATAATTTACATCCTTTACATTTACATACATATAATTTACATTACTGTCATTTTAAGTATTTTCCTAATACTTTTAAAAAGGAATTACTAGGAAAGATTCAAAAAGACAGAATGTTGTTGTTTGTTTGTTTACTCTCCATAGGTAATAATAGTGAAAATCAGTTGCTGTAACTATAGGAGCAGAAACATGGGGAGAATATTTTCTGTCTTGTGTTTTATGTCAAGGCCCAAATTGTTTCCACTTATTCCCATAGACTAGAACTTCCACAGTTTTTGAAATTAGGTCAGAAGAGAAGTTAGAGGCCTTCCTTCTAAGCGAGGTCTAAAATCATGCTCTCCACTTTTTTGGCTCTCTTTTTAAAGCCGTTTTCATAGTTCAGCAAGGTAGGAAAATAAGATATTGGCTTGGCCACCTTCCTAACTCTGCCACTTGAGAAGGGTCTGACCCACAAGGGCTGCGCTCTAGTTCTACCTGGTAGGAAGAAGTGCCCAGGGGACTCCAGAAAGGAGCCCTTCCTTACCTTGGCAGGGTCAAAGTGGAGAGAGTGGAGAAATGTCCCCAGTCTGCCGCCAGGGTCCCTCCACAGAACTTTGTACCAGTCAGGGTCCCAGCGAGAACCAGGCAGCATGCTTGGAGATAATTCTGGATCACATAGTTACAGCCAGAGTTGGCTCGGTTATCTATTCATTGCGCAACAAAGCACTCCCCATATTTGGGGGTTAGAACAACAACCATGCATGATTTTTCTGTGGGTTGCCTGGGTGGTTCTTCTGCAGGTCTGTGCCGCTCCCAGCTGATGGGTCAACTGGCTGGGGCGCCTGGAGCCGGCCTTGACTGAGATGCTGGCCCTCTTTCTACGGGCTCTTCCAGCCCAGGCTGCTTTACAGCTCGCCTGCATCTTGGTTCCCCGCAATGAGTGGAGTAAGGCCCTTGAGGTCCTGCGCACTGATTTCTCTTACTTTCTGTTGGTCAACACAACAGGCCCAGCTGGACCTGGTTTGAGGGGAGAGGGCAAATAGCCTCTGCTTCTTGATGCGAGGAACTCTTAAAAATGCACAGGAGTTCTGAGAGCCCGCTGAGGGTGTGGACGTATTGCGTGACTGGCCGCGGTGAGAAGCCATCAGCATCCCTGGGCCCTAAGGAGCAGGGGCCGCGGGAGGGCCGGTGCTCTGAGGGCACTCTCGGAATGCTGGAGCCAAAGGCAAGAGGCCACCTTGCAGGCTGAGGGGAGAGTTGTAAGAACTGCCAGAACCCTTCAGCTCCACAGGGACAGCCTGTTCACTCTCTCCACCCCGCCCCCGCCCCTGGTCACTTCTCTGAACGGTGCAGTGGCCAAGTGTGAACGAGCTCCAGAGATCCTGGGAGCCAGATGATGTCATCCACTGAGGCTGGCTTTCCAGGACAGAGCAGGACGGAGGATGGATGTGGGCAGGCAAACGAAGAGGGACCAGCACAGCCTCATTAACTGCTAAGGAAGAAGCGCAGGGGTCTTTTTTCTTGTTAGTACAAATACACTTCCAGTGCTGAGTCTCCTTTTCAGTCCCAAATGATCTATATTTAAGTTTCCAGAGACGGAATGCTCACCACCTCCCATAGCAGCTCTTTCTTTGAACAGCTGTGACTGCTAGAAAGTTCTTTATAATCAGACAAAGTCTTCCTTCATGGAGGTTTCACCTGCTGGTTTTAGTCTATTTCCTCAGGATGACAAAACACATTTCCTCTGCTTTCATAGGCACTTGAAAATAACTACAGGACATGCCCTGAATCTTCTTCTTTCTCTATATAAAACATCATCAGTTAATTCATCTTTTGTTCACTGGATAGTTTCATATTTCTTCAGCAATCCGATTCCTTCCTCTAAACATACGCTCCAGGCTGGTTTGACAACTCCCTCCTGATGATCCAGGTGTGACCTGTCCAGGTGAAGTGGGACATTTACCTTCCTTCTTTAAGAAGTTCCGCTTCAACCTAAGGGCAGTTTCTTTTTCTAAAGGCCACTTCACACTGTTAACTGTGGCCCTCTCTACCTCTTCTATCCACTACTCTATGGGCTCCTTGCTGGGGTTTACTATAATTCCCAGGTATTTTTTGAATGAAGTATGGATAAATGGATGGATGCATGGATGGTTGGAAGGAAGGACAGAAGGAAGGAAGGATGGATGGGTAAGAGTGAAAGGCATCACTTTGCTTTTCCTGTTCAGGGGCTTGAATATCAGCAGAGCAGAATGAAGAAATGAAAATGTCAGGTTTTTTTTTACTGAAAGACTGAGGACCCCTAAAGTGATGAACACATGTTAAAAAGTGAAGTTAAAACAGCAAGAGCAAACCTGTGGAAATATTCACCAAGTCCAATCAAGGCTCATCATCCATCTTTTCATTTCTAACAAACTCTAACTAGCTTTCAACTGGCATTGATAAATGCCACTAGATACATAATACTTTTTAGACAAAAACATCAGTTTGCTCTGGTTTGTGTGAAAACCTTGAGGAGCCTGGTAACAATGAATGTTTTGTCTGTTGAATCAAAACACAAAGCTAAATATGTCTTTAAGAGGCACAGAAATCCCTGTATAAGGTGGGTATCCAGGAAGAATCCACCAAAACCAAATCTATCCTTTTCTTCATTTTCTTGTTTCAGATTTAGAAAAGAAAATACAAGATCTGAATCTGAGTAGACAAGAAAAAGCTGACCAACTGAAACAATTGGAAGATCAAGTTGTTGCCATTAAAAGCGAGATTGATGAGCAAGAAAATAAATCTGCTACTTGCTATACTTAGGAAGAGGTAAAGTGCAAAGTCACCCATGCCTTCTTTTCTGACGAGGAAGCCTGAGGAGCTGTGCTGAACTTGGGAAACAGAAATGGTCAGCACCACCTCCTCCGCCTCCAGAGCTCACTCCTAGCCAAAGATCTGAGCTGGGCCAAGGAAATGCTGTTCCACGTGGAATAGAAAGGGGGAAGTAGAGACATCGTCTCTCGCTTCAGAAACCTTTCCTCTTGCCTTCCTTTCCCTTTCCCATAAAAAAAAAGTGTTACATATGGTAAGTACAAAATAAATAGTATTCTGTTTACTAATCATCACTTCAATCAAGTGAACCTAAGTGTGAAATCAGTTGCCAGTGGGGGGGGGGGGGCGGGTTGCAGGGCGGAAATGTATTACTAATTGATGGGCATAAAGTTCCGGTGAAGCGAAATGAATAAATTCTAGAGTTCTGCTATAGATTGTATGTAAGTCAACAAGTGTGTTCAGAAAGTAGATCTCATCTTAAATGTTCTTATCACAATAAAACAAAATAAAAATAAATTTAAAGAAATTAAGCTAAAATATATCAATGTCTCTAACACTATGATGGAATAAGTCTGGATGGCATGTGCTAGATTGTCCTGTGTTTTATTTTTATTTGGATTTGCTTTATCTATAAAACAATTATTCTGAATAAAATGCATACAATTCAAAATGTAACTTGTTTTTACACCCACTTCCCTCTATATTCATTCTCTCAACCAAAGGATTCTGTTTGCCCCAAACGGCACTGGAACAATATTCAAAAAGTAAATATTGAAGTACTTTTCCTAAACTGTCTGTAAGCAGTTTTGCTGTAAAATGTGCTACTCATTTTTGAAAGACCAGCAATTCCGCTGTTATTGTTTAGTGTGAAAGATCAGATTGTCTCACTTCAAAATGGGTCTATGATTTCACATCAACTTTTTTTGCATGTATGATATATAACCGAGCACCATTGCTTCTGTTTGTGAAAGCCATCCTTCAAAGGGATTATTTTAAGGAAATTCTGCCCCACATTTTTGAATAAGAAATAATAGACACCAACACTGATGTATGAAAGAGGAAAGCTGCTGGAGCCATCTCCTTTAAGGACTGACTCGTAAAAAATGAGTCTAAAAATTCAACGAAGGGGCTTTAGGATTACACATAAATATGAAATTTCTTAAAACATACGTTGTTTAGGAAAATTGCAGTTTCCCCGGAGATCCTGAAGAATGAAATGAAATTTTTCTACCAGAGAGCCCATCAGAAATCTCTCCTGAAATGCATGATTGCAATGCTCTCTCTATCCGGCACTTAAGACACCTGGAAACTTCTACCAACAAATGACACACAAACTGAACCAGAGTTGAAACATAGACTGTCACAAAATCTAAGTTGTGTACTCCAATGTAGAGGGTAGAAGACTCTCCCAGCCTTCCCACCAGGATATTGACTTCCACTCATGCACAGTTGATAAACTTACCTCGACGAGCATGATTATCTGTTTGCAATAGCAACATTCAACTGTTCTAGCCTTGCAGTGGTAGGAGACTATACAAGTAACAGCCAGAGAGTGTGGAAAGGGTTAAACGGGGAGAAGTTTCTGTCCTCTGACCAGGAGGCTGTTGAGGTCCCCAGGGGTAGAAAAATTCCCCAGCCCCTAAGGAAAGGGCAGTAATCTGGAGAGTCATGTCCAAGGGCGAGATAAACCCGTCATCTCCTTTGGGCCTCGGGGATCGCAGTTTGATGAGGACAGGCAGGATGTGATGCACTTTGGAAAGATTGTCATTAAGAAGTGGTTATGCTTTCTAAACTTTGGTGTATAAAATGATACGCTTTGGGTGTCTTTAAAAAATGCACCTATGTGAAAAATCTTCTCCCTCAGATAAATCATTTCTAACTTCTATTACTTGCTGTATCCGTTGTTCAAGATGTGACCAAGGCAAAGATTTGGTGAAACAGTATCTTTTATACATTGCAAAGTCTTCTGAAAATGTGTAGCAAGATCTATCCTGAGACCCAGTTGAACCTGTATATTAAGAAAATAATCTTAAATGCAGGGGGAGAAAAGCTTTGTGGCAAATTCATTGCAGCACTGCTTATATTAAAAATGCAAATAATCTAAATAATAAAAAACCAATTAAATATTATGGTTTTACCAGTCTGGTTCTTGGATGCAAACACTGACATATGCAAACAATAACAGCTTATTATGCAGGAAAGGATTTCTTTAAAGGTAATCTCATAGCACATAAAGCTGAAGAAATGACTGGGGAAAATGTAACCCAGGACAGTTATGCATCTGGGAATATATCCAAGATCCCACCCCAGGAGCACTCAGGTGAGGATGCTAATGCTCATCCTGTTGGACCACCCAGTTAACTCTCAACTGTCTTGCATCTCGTGTCCCTCTCCCATGACTCGAAAATCCCCGGGAGAAATATCCAACTGCCTGACCTCTTCATGTGCCCTGGCTGCCAGAGAGAAGACAGGACATCTGCCCCCTTTAGCTTTGGTAGTGGGAGCAGAGTTTTGTCTCCACCTATCTTTGGAATCTTCCAAGGTGGGAAGTGTTTTGATGGCAAGCGTCAAAAAATTACAAATTTCCATCATAGTCCACCTTTTCCTGATATCATACGTTCATCCCACATCTGGTTCTAAAACAAAAACAAACCCTTCCACCAAACACAGTGTTGCATCCACTCAGCCTTCTGGAAGCACATCCACTCTGTCTTCAAGGAAACCAACCCAGAGTCCCATCACTCGCTGATGGCATCCAGCTGTGCTCTCTCCCTTTTCCATTTCTGTTATGATTCAGTCTCCGATGTCCCGCAACTTACGATCCAAATGATAAAGTTTACCACCAACACACATCGAGTATAGAGTCGTGGGGGAAAGAAGGGAACTAAAAAGGAAATTAAATATATTTTTATATTTTATAATAAAAAATACAAATACGTACAAAACATCACACGAGGAACATAGATTGGGATCGCAGGCTTCATTTCTGTTAACTCTTCAAGAGGCTGCATTGGGATTAATGATCTTGTTTTCCTAGTCATTCCACCTTCCCTCCGCCTTCAGCAAGCATCTCCTTACTAGCTAGAGTGACCCAAACCTTCTTTCCTGGGGATTCTGTCTTTGAAGGTCCTGCAAGTACAGAGGCAGAGTACGCTTACATTACATTTTGTGCTTGGACTTGGCAGGACCGGATTGTCTAGACTGCAGTCATACCCCTCCCTGCGGCCACTGTGTAACAAAAGCTCTATTTCTCTTTTTTAAGAGTTGAGATCAATTACTCCAATCAAAATGATACTGCCTCCCCACTTTCTTTGGCCTGTTTATCCGTTAGCATGAGGACTCTGAAAGAGCTGGGTATTGGTATGTATTCCAATTCAGTGGTGCGACTAATGTGTCATCTAGTAAAAACCTACTTCCTTAGACACCGGAGCCCAAAGTCAGGTATAGGAAGTACAATTTTGCCTCTGAGGCATTTGGATATAATTGTGAACAGTGTCAGAGATTTTCCCTCTCTCTTGGTTTTAGATCCACGTAGTCTGCATCGAGAAGGCTCCATCAGTTTTCACAGAAGAACGCACAGCTCTGCCTTGCATCAACATGAATACATTTTCTTTGCTTCTAATTATTCTAACAGTTTCCTAAACTTGAGTTGAGTGAACACTCCATCTGCCCGGCGCTGGGAAGTCTCTTGAGGTGTGTGAGGGACCAACATAGAGAAGTCTAGACTGAACTCCATGCGTCTCAGAGCAGCGGTTGAGTGAAGGGCAGCAGATAGAGAGCCAAGGTTGAGACCGAGAGTGGTGGCCAGGCTTATAGCAACTGACACAGGTGACACTCAGTAACAGGTCAGCAGACGGGACCTATGACTGTGACCGTGGAAGAGCAAGATGGTGGACAGCGCGCCAGTAAATGTGAGGGAGCCCTGTTACCAGAGGTCAGATGGAGACACCGGCAAACCAGCTGGTCTCATCAGAAAATCATTATGAAGATCAGGAAACATCATTGTGAGGTAGCCAGTGTGGTCCATTAAGGAAACAATTCTATCTTCTCCTAAGTTAGAAACCAATCTCAGGTGAAGGGCAGCTCGGGGCTCGGAGTTAAGTGCCATTAGCCCACAGCACCAAGGTGGCAAGATGAAGGGGAACCAAAAGAATTGCTGTCCAGTATCTACTTTCTTCCTTCTGTCTTTTGGGAATAGAATTCCTCCATGTTCTAAACAGGCACGTGGCTGCCTAGTTGGAGAAACTATTTCTCAAATTCGCTTGCAGTTCAGTGTGACCATGTGACTGAATTCTGGCCGGGAGGATATTCGTGAGAGTGTTGTGTGCAACTTCAAGGACACAACTTTAAAAGGAAGCTGTTCAACCTCCGTGGGAGGCAAGAATAATGGCCCTCAGAGATATCCATGTCCTAACCTCCATAGCCTGTGACTATGTTATGTTACATGGCAAAGGGAAATTAAGGTTGCGGATAGAATTACTGTTTGAATCAGCTTAACTTGAAATGGGGCAATTAGCCCGAACTATCCAGGTGGGTCCAATGTAATGTAAGAGTCCTTAAAAGTGGAAGAGAAAGGAGCACCTGGGTGGCTCAGTTGTTAAGCATCTGCCTTTGGCTCGGGTAATGATCCCAGGGTCCTGGGATCGAACTCCGCATCGGGCTCCCTGCTCCGCAGGAAGCCTGCTTCTCCCTCTCCCACTCCCCTGCTTGTGTTCCCTCTCTCACTGTGTCTCTCTCTGTCAAATAAATAAAATCTTTAAAAAAAAGTGAAAGAGGAAGGCAGAAGAGAGAGAGAGGGAGAAAGTCAGCGAGGTACTGGCAAGAGAAGGATTTGGTTTGATGTTCCTGGCTTTTAATATAGAGAAAAACGTAAATGGATCCCAGAAACTGGAAAAAGCAAAGAAAGGGATTATTTTCCACCGCCTCCAGAAAAGAACACAGCCATGCGGCACCTTGATTTTAGCCGAGTGAGTCCTTTCTCGGACTTCTAACCTACAAAACTGTAAGCTAAAGATGTGTCCTCTTAAGCTACTATGTTTATGGTGATTGGTTATAGCAGCAATAGAAAACTAAGACACTCTCCATTTGTCCTTTTCCCCTTCAAGTGAGCCAGAATGTGGCGAGTCAGGTATAACCATGTAGAGGAGGATAAGACTGGTGAAGCAAGGCCAAAGAAACCGAAATCCCTAGTTGGCTACCAGTCAGGGTCCTGGCAGGACGCAGAAGGTACAAGCTGGAACCGTTTAATAAGGGGACGGCAGAGAAAGATGTGGTCAGGGTGAAGGAAAGCTATAAAGGATAGGGCAGCACGAGACAGGGGGTCCTCACCACGCCTGGCCACCCTGCTTGGCCGAGGAGAGCGGGTGACAACCGGGAATCGAAGGGAGTGTGTAGGAAGGCCACTTACCAGGACCTGTGGTCACTGGCGGGGAACGCACCAGCTGTGACAAAGCTGCAGAGGCTCTAGGGGCAGGGACACGCCGGCGCTGCTCTCCCCGGTCCCCGCCAGTCTCTGGTGAGCACGTCCCATTCCTTGAACCAAGACCCCAGACTGATGCTGCCACGTAGACCAGCCTCCTGGGGCTTAGAGGCCGCGCGGGGACTGTGTGGATTAAAGCTGTCCACGTCTGGTTTCCTGGGCTGCCTGCCGGCTTGAACTTGCACGGGACAGAAAAGCAAACGTCTGGTGTGATGTCACTGGGACATCAGTCTCCTTTAAAACCGCCGAACCAACGGCCCCTGTATATCTCTGGGGCACTAATGGCATCCAAGCCCTCTCCAGACTGCTACAACAGTCCCTCTCTGTCCCACAGCGTGGGCACAGTGGCACCAAGGGTCAGGTGACAAGTGCAAATTCTGGCTTGTCCCCTACATGACCTCGCGCGGTTCACAGTCTCTGAATTTCATGTCCTTCCTTTCCTTCAGCTGTGAAATGCTAAGGACTAGGCCTGGTCTACCGCCCAGGCTCACTCCCAGGTGGAAGGGCTAGGAGAAGCGTAAGGTATTCCTGAAATCCTTCGAGACCCGCTTCCTAGCAGTCACCTTGTGTTACAGCCGCACTTCCCATGTGCGCAGGCGCTCCGGCCGCGTTGCCGGCCTTAAAAGCCTCATTCCTGTCTCTCCACCAAGTCTGACTTTTCCTTAGGAAAACCTCCCTTCCTCCGAAGTCATGTCTGTCCGGCTTAGCTGCACTTTCTCTGAAGTCTTCTCTTATGTCGCCAGTTTGCTGATAAGCCTTATCTAACCAGATAGTAACAAACGAGAGGATGTAGAACACATGTTCAGCCACTTCCATATTCCTTTATAGAACTTAGCACCGTGCGGAACATTCTAAATATTTGTTCACTAACATATTAGTTCCATAAATCGACTCCAAATTGTTGCCACTCAGACAGTCCTGGGACCATCCCTGAATGAAAAAGTTTTCCACTGTAACATGAAACCAGCTCGCCATATGGGTTGGCCCCTCTAAAAAATGTAATTGAGAACAATGCAAGTCTTTAACTCCATATGTAGAGGAAACCATGTCAAATGGGAATCCAATCCAAGCACAGGACAAAAGAAATCCTTTTCCCCATCTCCCCCCCCAGCTCTCTGTAACCACCACCCTATAGCAGCTACTGAAAATCATCCCTCTGGAAACTTCTCGGCTGTAAAAACTCCCCAAACCAAGCTCCCTGCTCTTTCCTCTCAAATCTGGTTCTTCCCTTTACCCTTGGTCACTCTCTCTTTTCCTCGCCGCCGTGGATGTTTGTTTACAAGGTTGTTGATGTTTTCCAAGCCCCTGGGCTATAAATTAGGGTGTGCCACTCCCAAACCAAGGTCATGGCCTCGCAGGCAACAGCTACACTTCCCAGGCAGAGTTCACTGAGCCAAAGTGAAGGAGTTCTTTGCTTTGCATTCAATTAGGCTTTGCATAGAGAAAGCAGTTGCATTAAGTGGCTAAGCAAAAAACCTTAAAGAACACATGTGAAAAACATTTTTATATATAAATATAAAGGCTTATATATTTACATATAAGATTTATGCAAAATTTATGTAAATACAGCTATGATTTTTAGGTTCCTCAGTAATCCTTAGCCATTCAACAAACTAATCAAACTCTCCTGCATGCAAATCCCCACACACACATACCTACCTATTTGTCTCTTCTTACCACCAATCCCCCCAAACAAGCCTGAGTAGAACTTTTTTCATTCACTTAATGCTTCTAACTAAAAGTTCTTTGCCAGCCCTGATTCTTACGCTTCAGAAAAATGACAAAGTTTGGTGACCAAAGTTTTCACAGGCTTTTTCCATTTATAAGCTTTTAAGGCTTTTAGGAATAGAGGTGCCAGCTTACACTTTACTAGAGGACAGTCCCCTGTTTGTTCTCTCCTGTTTCCTGCCCTCAACCCTTGAGAGAGCATTCCCACTCCCCCCCGCCCCCGCCTCCAACATAAAGCAGACGAAGCATGATTTCTCTTAACACCAGCTTATCCATCAGCATCTAGCTTTTCTCTACTGGGAAATAGCTTGAAACTACATATAATCTTTAGCTTTACTCATTAAATGCTTTGGCCATTCTAGAAGGCTGCTTCTGCCCTACCAGTCCACCTCTGACTCACCCTGCTGACTGAACAAGCTTTGTTAGGCAAAGCAAGCTTACCACAATCTATATTAAACATATTAATCAGAATGTACAGGATTTTGGAGTACAGTGTTTTCTTCCTGTTCATATGGATTATGTTTTTTTAAAGGTTGTGTTTGCTTCATAGCCATATTGACATCGTTCCATGCACAACCATGGTTCTTTGATGACAAACACCAAAGTCTGGGAAACAGAAGGCTGGCCATGTTTTATCTTCTATTCTCCAGGTGGTAACAGATGAAGTTTACTGCATTCAAAGCCCTCTGGTCCTCCCTACGTGGCACCAAGAATTAAAATCTAATCTTTAGTACTGGTACTTGCTCGCAGGGAAGATTTTGAAATAGCCCACAGAACGTTCATAGTAAAAAAAAAAAAGAAAAAGAAATAAATAGATTTATTTATTTATTTATTTGTCAGTGGAAGATAGTCCCTCTAATGGGAAAAGCTATAAAATGACTATCTGAAAAGTTCTAGAAAGAACTAGGCAAACCCTTAGAGAGCTGGCTGCAGGCATCTCTCTGGAGCTTTTGTGCATGCTCTTCTCCCCGATCTTGACTCTCCTTCATGAAAGAGGTTTAAGAAATCCAAAGTGCAAGAGATTTAAAGAATTCCCTCACCCCCCCATTTTCAGAAGAGCACGGAGATGACCTTAGCCAGGCTCACACAGCTCATTGGCAGAAATGCCAAGGTGGGGGTGATAGAAAACCTCTCCCAGGACAATACTTGTTCTATTGAACCCTATCTTCCAAGACCACTTGCTTCTTTAACTGGTCTTAGGCTCTATTAAACTGTCCATCAAATACAGGAGAACATTTTCTTACAATTGACTAACCTATTTTTTATGTAAATGGCCTATCTTAGAAAGGATTTCACAGAAAGTAATTCTGCTTGAGAAAAAACAAAGATCAAAGTGTCTCACCAAATAGAAATATTTTATCCTTAATGTTAGTGAACAAACATGTCTAATCTTGTGGGACTAGGAGGTCTTTTAAGAATAGCCAACTAAGTGAGCATATAGTCTTCATCAAACACAATCAGCAGAATTTTCAGTCCTCAAAGCTTTCCATGTAGTTCTTAAAAACAAAGCAACAGTGTAACAAATAACAAAGGTAGGCCAAATTTAAAATGTTAAGTTCCATTATCTAAAACTATTACAATATATGTGTATTGCTTTACATTCATTTGCTTTAGTAGTTAGGTTTATTTTGTTTTCCTACATGAACAACTATTTGGTTGGGTACAGTGGTTCTATAAGATACACAACCAATTTCTAGGACTCCGTAATAACTGCTATCTAGATTATTAGCTCTGTTAAAGTGAATATTTAAATTAATCCAAGTTTTTTTTTTCTTGGTTCTCAACTGAGCCTATTAAAAGCATCACTATACTGTGAACTTTCTAGAAAGGAGTAGGAATGGAAGTTAAATGGGGCCTGAAAATCTAACAGCCGAACTAGTGTTTGAGGATTCCAGAGATTCGTACCATGGGAAGAAGCTCAAAGCTTGGAAAGGCTGTATAAACATCCCATATCTAAAGACAAACACTCGGGGATCTTTATGACATTCAGGTTTAGCTTTGTGTTGGCCATACTGCATTATGATTCATCTAGGGAAGCAAAATACTAATGGAAAAGGTCAAATATTCGGGATTAAAAGAACCATTGCTTTCATTTGGGAAGCGGTCTAAACTTTCTTACAAACCAATGTAAAAAAGTTAATCTATTCAGATAGGATAGGCTTCAAGTTGCAATTTTCGTTTAAAATCCCAGTTCTGTCCAACTCTTCAGACCATCACCATACATTCTACACACCAGATATATAGAGATTTGTATTCTAAAATTTCTCCTTAAACTCCATTTTTGCTTCCATCCACTTTGGGGGCTAACTCTAATATACAGACAGTGTGAAAGATTTAAACACTGATAAACACGTTCCTTTGTAAGAAAAAAATCAACTTTCCACTGTGAATACAGCTAACTATATTTTGACTGGAACATAAAAGCAAAGGAAGTGGTTACAGAAAATTAATCATGGCTACTCAACATTGTATTCAGACCTAAATAGACCGCAACAGTTCCTACTGGAACTCAAGTTTCTATGAAATACCCACATACTTTAGGGATATCAGCAAGCTTGATCTGTTTTCCTTGACTTTGACTGGGCAGAAGACACTCTTTGCTCAGGGATGTGAACGTGGCAATACTTCCACCTAGGTTACAGAGTTTATTAAAGTGACTTCATTTCTGAACATCAAAGGTCACTTTGGAGAATGCAATCACAGGAAATTATCTTAATGTAAAAATTTTTAGAACAAGGGCTATACATGTTCATTATGGAAAAAATCATAAAATAAGGGGAAACAATGATTTAATATTTTGGGCTAAAATGTAGGCAATTCCTGGGTGGTCTCCTTTTTTAATCCCTCAAGAAATATGATATACATCTACATATTTTTTTTCACAATTGGAGCTTACTTTCCCCCAGTTATATCCTAAAAATAGGCCCCCATCTTTTTAGGCAACTGTCTAGTATTCTGTTACAGGGGTCTAGCATAATTACTTAAACGATCATTAATAAGGAATCAATCAGTCATTTCCAGTTTTTCTCTTATTTAAAAATGATAGTGTAAACCTCTTTATCTGCATAATTTGGCATATTTTCCCACAAAGTTATGTGTAATTTAAATTTTAATATTTCAGATTGCCCTCCAGAAAGGCACACAGTACCTTCATAGCAATTAGTTATGTTAGTGCCCTTATGGACCTCATTACGGAGGACACCGGAAGACATGGGAACCTTGACTTACCATTAGATCATCATCACCCTGCAGCTTCTCACATGACGGTGAAAGTATGGTTGCTTCTTGGTAAACCTCGTGTGGATTTACACTCTCCACAGCACGGTGTAGAGCAGTGGCTGAGCAAGTTTATGCTGAGTTAACATTATGTATTCTCATTAATACTTCACAGAACACTCCTCGCTTATATTTCCCATGGAATAAAATGTAATGTGCTATAAATACATAGTACTAATGTATATTGGGTATGACTCATTCTGGCTAAAGAATTACCTGTGAATTATTTCTCCCCAGAAAGCACAATGGGCATAGTTCCAGGCATTCATTGAATGAACACATTCAGTAAGTATCTGATGAGTTCTGTGCTCAGTGCTGGGGAAATTAGGTTGCTCTCAGAGCACTTGAAATTGAGCAAACACAGAAAATATACTCCTACACTAACAATCTGTTTGGTGGGCATTCATTATATACCAACGATGTATTCTGTGTTGGTGTTAGGGATATGGCAGTGAGGGCGAGAGATGAAGTGCCTGGCCTTGTGTGTGGCACAGCTGGTCTAGAACAATCCAGAAAGATCTCTTCCAATAGGCGTATGTCCAAGTAATGGACCTGGGCTGTGGAATTGAGAAGTTTCCACACGTGAACGTAAGTAGAAGCTGTCTTGGCAGAGAAGAGCGAAGCGTGAGAAGGCATTCCAGGCAGAAGGAACTGGATGAGCCAAAAACCAGGGTTTAGGTTTTGAGAACAGTGAGTCTATGCAGGCAAGAGCTTGGAGGGAGTGGAGGTTGACAGCTGAGAATGCAGAGGTGAGAGTAATCACATAGGCGCCAGATTTCCAAGAGCCTATAGAGTGTGCTAAGACACCTGGTCTTTGTACTTGTTTCACAGATGAGATTGAGGAGCCCTGTCATGTCATTTAGTAAAGTCATTGGTGACTAGAAATAATGAATTTTAATTTCCTAGCTCCTTGAATTTGGATTTTAAGGTAAAAACCCAGACTCAGCCAACATTTATCATATGCTTTATACAAAGTATAACAAACACTGATACCTAAAAAAAAACAACTTTGGATTACAATTTTTTGCTAATTATACCAGTTACAGACAAATAGATAGTCATTAAAAAAAACCTCATCCCATCCCAAACATAATCACTGTACCCTCCCCAAGAGTACCCACCATCATCTGTTTGCTCTCCCTCTTTCTAGAATTTTATCATTGTCTAATCCTGTATGTATGTGTATATATGTTTATAGAAATAGAGCATTGTAATGTTCCTCCTTCATCTTCAACTTTAACCCTTGTGGGTCTCCTTACCAATAGCATATCCATGTCAAGACAACCCTGGACTTCTCTCCATGTAGAACATATCCCATTAGTACATAGCAGTGATTGGCACATAGAAAACACTCAAGAAATGTTAAAGAATGAGAGAGGTTGCTGCTAAGGCTTAAGGTACTAATTAGGTAGATAACTGGAGCTGCCAAAGTCCAAGGCCATCAACTAGTGGTCAGTACTTTGATTAAAAAGTCCTGAGCAGATGGAGGAATCGTCAGCTCCACATTCCATGCTTTCCAGACATCATCTAGTCAGAGGGGTTAATAGCAACATTCCATTAGCCATCTTGGAAAGGGCAAACACATCCTATGACTTCTTTGTCTGGCGAACAGCCCAATATGTGAAATAACACCTACTCCTGGAGTGAAGCCTAGTGCCGACTTGTTCATGATGTGATAAAAACGCAGTCACTCGGCTCTGGGTGGGCTGGCCTTCCCAAATCTGATCACCAGCCGTGGCAGCCACAGGCGCAACAGCCTTGATAAAATAAATGCTCTTTCCAGAAGAGCAGGCTTATTCTTCTAGAGGAGTTGCAGTTGTAGAGTTAATGCTCCTAGAAGGCCCACAGCACTGTGGCTGCGGATGATGAGGCAGGACTGTGGTTTTTAGAGAGGGGATGCCTTTTAACTAGC